TATTCAGGAAAAACGTCAGCCAGAGGTGCATTGTCTTCTTTGTGTTACAGACACAGGTGCTCACATATTGAGCCTTGACCCTGACTGCACCTTTTTCTCTCTCTTGTGTGTCATTGTTCAGTGTTTTTCATCTTGCCATTTGCTGTACAAAGTTTGTTCCAAGTAAGAGCAGGATTCAAGTCTACAACATCAAGTGCATCAGGCTGTAATTGACAGCAGAGACAAGGAGAAAACATGTATCATCATTCCATTATTACTTTATACAAACTAGAGCTGAGCAACTGTTATTGTTGACTTGTGTCAGATGTTTTTTTGAAGCGAACATGGTAATATTTGTTCATTGAAAAAAAAAAAAAAATAAACCTAATTCTGATTCTGATTCCAGCATCTTAGACATGACGATGGGCTGCATTTCTCTGTTTTAGGTAATTGTAAACCAAATATCTGTGGATTTTGTTGCGCAAAACAAGCAATGGGAAGATGTCAGCTTTGCCATTAGGTTATATATTGACCAAATGATTGATTGGTTAATAATGATAACTGATGAAAATAAAAGGTGGTTACTGGTCTAATTTGAAGACATCTCAACCTTGGAGGAATACAACAAAAAAAATCTATCTGGTAAAGAATGAATTATGAATTCATGAATCAATTCATGGAGAAAATAATAACCAGTTAAAATGAAAACAATTGTTAGTTTGTTGTCAGCCCTAATACAATCTTCTCCTTTATGTATGAGGCAGTCGTGAATATTTGCTTACAGGATAAACTCTCATTTGAGAAATTGAGGTCCTTTTCCCCTCTTTGGATTCTACTCTTTTTATTCTTCCACATATAATCAATGTCTGATTTGCTCTCTTCTCCTCTCCAGAATATGACAGACACCTAGCAGCAGCAGTGTCAGCAGGGAAAACCATGGCGACGGCCTACCTGGACCCCAACCTGAACCATGCCCTCCTGGGAGGCGCCAAGTCACGGCTGAGCGCGGGGGGGTCAGACAGAACCATGGCCGGCTCCGTGGACAGGGTTCTGAAAGTCTGCCATCACTTTGAGACCAACACTGAACACAGCTGCTGGTCCTCCAATATCAGATATGGAGATGCAACTGATGTCAGGGTAAGAAGTGACGCACTGCACCGAATGTATATATGGCGACAAAATAAATATATAAAATTAAAAATAATTAAAAATGAACAGCAGTCTGACACAGCCTTGAAGGATACATCTGGTGTCATTCTACATCTTTCCTGTTGTTAACTGCTTTCAGTGTTCCCCACCCTGTCTGTGGCACTCATCCCCAAGCCCATTTGTTCGTCCTGAAGACGTAAATCTTAAAAAACGGGTCACAAGTACAAGGCTTCATTTTTAGACTGAGAGTCTACAGCTATGTTAGCAGCTCTGTGAGGCTATACTTACACATAGGGGTGGTCTGAGCTGAACACTAATGTCAGCACACTAACAAGCTCGAAATAACAACGGTAAGGTGCTGATTTTTAGTAGGTATGACGCACGGGCTGCTGAACTGCTGCAGCTCACACACGTGGTGTTTGTTGTCAACCAGAAAGATGGCTGGTCTTATTCTTTTATTCTTTTCTTAGTTTTCATGACACTACCGCCACCCCCTATATGTTGCATTTTACCCCCAGCAGTAATTTTAAAGGTGAATTTTTTGCTGTGTGTCCTCAGCTCAAGGTCCTAGCTGTCTGCTCTGATAAAGGACACTCAGCACTCTTACAATATTCTGCTAGCAAATACATACAACCTCAGGGCAGACTCTCTGTGTGTGTGTATGCGTGTCTATTAGGGTATGTTTACTTAGCAGTATGCTTTTAGATCCACTCCCATGACGCAGAAACTACTTAGCACTGCTCAAACTTTAGTGGTCATAGGAATACGTCACTGCAAATCTCCTCTCTTCTACTCTCCTCTCCTCTTCTATCCTCCTCTTTCTCCTTCAGTATCTAGGTCAGACCCCCTAGCATTTTACATGGCAACACACATGGTGCTGTGAGCATTATCGTCCTTGTGTGTATGATGTCTGTCAACTTGTTTGGGTGGGAATGTCATGTTAAATTGCTTCAAGTCACCTTCACAGACATACACATGGATAGACTAATGTCCTCATTGACCTGATGCAAAATACCAGACATAAACATTGGCATAGTTGGCACACTGAGGTATGGCAGACTGACTTCTTTATAGACTGGCTAACTGTTTTTGTCCTCGGGACATCTTTGGTTTATTTAGCAGCCGTGTTGGGGACAGTACCACTGTAGATATAAATTGGAAAATGCTTTGTAATTTGGCCCAATTTAGCCGAATATTCCAGAGAAATATCTTTTTCCATAAACAATATCAGTGTTTAGTCTCGCAACTGTTCAAAATGACATTTTTATTGACTTTTTTTTGTTCTTTAAACTTAAAGTTTATGTAAATGTGCAGGAGAAGTGGATATGAAGAGTATTCATTCTTTGTCTCCAGGGAATCATCCAGAAGATTCTGGACATCCAGAAAGTGCGCTGGACGTCTTGTTTTGGCTTACGTCTCAGCAACGTCCAATCCAGAGACCAGGTGCACTGGCTTCACCCTGATATGGGTGTTTCCCACGTCAGAGAGAAATATGAACAGGCACGACCAAACGAGGAGTGGAGGTGAGAGAAGACGAGTGTGTGTGTCATCTACTGATTAATGTGTTATCATTGAGTTGTCATTGTGCTAATATAACATATCAGGGTTATATCAAACACAGTATGCTGAAGCTTGTTCAGTTTCACTGCCTCAGACTGTAAACTAGGCACCAGCGCTATTGGTTTTTAGTGATTTGATTGGCTAAGGTGGACAGAAAATTGTGTGCAAAGGGTTGTGAGCATGAACTTCGGGCATTAGCGTGGCTACCATGTTACCAGGCCAACAACCGCTGTCCACAAAGTTGTAACACCATACAGGTTCCTATCAGCCAAGTAGTATCCCTTATTTTCTGCTGCTGGTATGATTTTGCCATGTAGTTCTAATAAGGAAGTAAAAAATGAGGATATAAACTGAATGTTTCCTGTGATTTTCTTCTCTCACTGCAAAAGTGCTTCATCCCAGCTCTACCCAGCGCCCTGCCAGTGTTTTTCTGCCAGAAAAAGACACAGGACACATACCCTAAAAACGTGATTATCTCGAATCGTTACCAGGCATAGTAGTGGCTGGGCCTTATTTGTTGAGATTTCAAAGACAAAATGTAGTCCAACTTGCCTTCAGATTCTGGGGCAGGTGCATGCAGGTCCTCGAGGAAAATAACATTTGAGAAAAGCTGTGAGGTTACAATATATAACCAGTTTCCTAGACATTAAATGTGACTTATTTTGGCCTTAGAAATTTAGCCATTCACTGCCTCCTCAAACAGTTAGCTTCAGCAGTCTCCCCTGTTGTATTCCAAAGTAGCAGAACTGATTTACTGCAAACAACGTAAAGAAAAATGGTGCAGCCCGTCTGCTGTATGGTGATGGGAGGCCGTGTGTGTGGTGCGATGTGGTTGTGTTGGTTTGGCAGTTTGGATGTTAATGCACTGGTATATATTACGTTTATTGTGGCGGTCGTGGTGCTAATGCTATTGTGAGGTGGAGACCTTTTGCACTGTGGACATAAAGAGAGGGAGAGAACCAGATGTCTGCTTTGTCTTTCTAAGTCAACAACTCTCTCCGTCTCTCCTCCACTGGTCTTCTCATTTGCCGTCTTGCGTATAAATTTTTTCCTTATATCCTTCTGTCGCTTTCTCTTCCCACTCCTCCGGTCCTTCACCGTACCACCATACATTCCTTAATCCTGTCCCTTTTCTTTGCTCTACTCTCCACTTAGTGTAATTTTCTTAAACTGATTTATTCTGAGGTTTTTACCACACAGAAGACGAATACAAAGGTCGAGACTTGTTTTTGCGATTTGAAATTGGAAAAATGCTCTCCCTTTCTTCTTCTCCTCTGTAGGTATGAGTTAAGGATCCGGTATCTTCCAAAGGGCTTTGTGCAGCAGTTTACAGAAGACAAACCTACACTCAACTTCTTCTATCACCAGGTATACACACACACACACACACACACACACACACACAAACAGACATACATACAAACACACAGAGGCAATCACACAAACCTTATTTTCTGCCAGCATTCACACATATGATACTGCCTGAAGACTGTGTGGGTTTGCCTTTTGGTGATCTAGGTCAGAGGGATTGTGTGTGTATTTTTGTGCGCTATAGATGTCTGGCCATTTGTTGTTTGTAGAGATAAATGTTTTAATAAACATGTTTTTGTGGTGTGTGTTTGCGTTCCCCAGGTGAAGAGTGACTACATGACAGAGATCGGGGATCAGGTGGAACAAGATGTAGCTCTCAAACTTGGCTGTCTAGAAATCAGGTAGGAAGTTCTCACACTACTGAACAGTGACTTTCCTTCAGGACTTTAACCATGAATAAGTTAAAGTTACAATGTACTACAATAAAACAAATTTTCTATTTTCTTCTTTTAATCAAAAGCAAATGTTTGTTCCCATCAGATATTGAAAGTTTGTAATTTTTAAAAGAATCACAAACTCCATCTGTTTTTGCCTAAACTTGCAGTTAAAATGACAGTTTAAACTGTTTTCTTTGCCAGTTAAACTGCCCTTCAGCTACACTGATCATTCTTGCCAATGTTTGTCATTATTCAAATTCATATAAAAACCTCTAAATGTAATTCTATTTAATTTGAGTGTGCTTTTCTTCTGTTTACAAACACTGAATCAGATTTAAAACCTGGGTCGTCATTGTCATGAGTGAGACCACAAGCCAAAATGTGCTCTTATAATAAAGTTGTTCTGCATACTAAGTTGCTGGAGTGTTTACTTTTTCAGCCATTTTCTCCGTTCCATGCACCTTGGGCGTAGCTGAAGTTTTGCCAGAAATCCCTGCTCTGCTAACATTTAAAAACATTTAAGTTTTTGGTACACATTCACCAAGTAGTCCCTTGTGTGTGTCTGCAGTGAATAGATTTAATCTTGTTCTCTCCCTGTGTCCCACTGGTTTTAATTCCAGGAGGTTCTTCAAAGAGATGAGAGGAAACGCCCTGGACAAGAAATCCAACTATGAACTACTTGAGTAAGTATTTTCTTCATTTGCTTTTTTTTTTTTTTCACTTTTAGTCCTGCTCACAACTTTTCCAAATACATCCTTCCTCCACCTGCGGTTATAAATACAGAAAAACGGCAAAGTATCTCAGTTTTTGGTGCAAGATTCCTGTTGCAGAAATCTGGATAAGTGGAAAACAATTGAAAGATATTCAGTGAGAGTTTGGGAATTGCACAAAAGTCTGGGAACATTTAAAAATCTAAATTGTTCAATTTTGTTGCGGTCCAGCTGTGTTTTGAACTGTGTTTTGACATGTGTTTACATTCAGTCTAGCTATAGTTATCACCTGATCACCTGTCTTTAATACAGATTACAGCGTTAATGCAGATTGGTGTGGGATTGGCTGCTCTGTCTGTGTTGGCTCCCTGGTTTGCTCCCTGGTAGATAGATGTCTATGAAGAACATTAACAAATCTTGGCACTAACGAGGCTTGGCTCTTAACGCGGTCTGATTCTAATGAGCTGCCCTCTTCCAATGAAGTCTTTCTTTCTGTCCGTCGGCCTAACAAGCTCTCCAATTAACTGAGAATAATGCCCACTGTCTTTCCACTGATATCTCTTTGTCTCTCTTCTCTGTCCTCTCAGTCTTTCTCTGTCTGTCTGTCTCTCCTGACTATGCTCTCATCCTCTATTTTTGTCTGCTTTTTCTCCTGTATTCCTCCCTTCTTTGTTTTTTCCCTGTCTCTGCCTCGCTGCCTCTCTCTGTTGATTGGAAAAAGATGTTGTGTCATGCATACTTTAAACCAACCAGAGAGGAAGAGGGAAAGTGCTGTCGGGACTTTGATAACACCAAGCTGACAGTTGGCCATCGGGGCTCTTGTTGAGTGTCTGTGGTGGATCGCTGCCCATACATTTTACGTAGTGTCTGGCACTGTTGGCTCTAGTCGGCTTCTATCGATGGCCTTTTTTCCATTCTGAACGGTCGGTGGAGAAACCAGGGAACGGCATGTTCACTCTCTAGGTTACACTAGCAAATAATTGGAACTGATTGACTGGACGTGTATCAATCTAAATGCTGTCTCTGTTTTCCCCGTACTTCTGTTTTCCAGTTATATAATAAGATTTGCGTTAGTGTGAAAATGGTAGGCTAGTTTTGTTTTGTTTGCATTTCCACGCTGCCGTTTGATTTAAGAGGACAAACCACTGACTGCTGGTTTGTTCCTCTCATGCAACCACCGAACATATGCGTATGTTGGAGATCAGCTGGCTGTAGTTGGCTGTAGTCCTTGTGGTCTGTGAGCTAATGCGAAGCGTGTAATCTGCGGGCCTTTGTCAGCGCTTGTTCTTTGATGTCGGCTTGGTTTGTAATCTTCCCGAGTCCTTTATTTGCTGTATCTGCTTGTGCTTCTTGTTGGTCCTGTCATGGACTTGCTTTGATTGAGAAAGAGAGAACAGTTTTAGGGCTGACACACAGCATGATTTGTAAGGTTATCCTTTTTTATAGACATGATGATGGAAAGCCCCAAGTGAAATAAAAGTATTTGCACGTGTGTTTACCGTAGAGGAGAATGCTTTAAGCTGAGGCGGGCTTGGCAGTTTAGATAACCACAGGGCAGCATCTGAAAGTTTATTTATTGCGACAACTTACTTGAGATAAATCCCAACCCTTTTGTACAACACACACTATAATAATAATTTGAGACTGATATTGAGATTGACCTATGTTGGAGAAATAGGATGATGTAAGCTCTCTGCCTTCACTTACTCTCTCTTCAATCATTCTCTCTGCCTCCCCCTGTACTTGTCTTTTCTCCAGAGGAGTTTGAGTCATTAGCTAGCTTCCTGTTTTAGCTCTGCACATCTTTCTTTGTCTCTGTGGTCTCCCTCTTTGTACTCCTCTCTGCCTCGCTCTATCTCTCGCTTTATGCTCTCTCTATTTTTTCCTCCGCTCCGTCTCTTAGGAAAAGATGAGTAGTCTAGTCAGCACTTAGTCATAGCTTTCTGTTTTCTGTTTCTTCTCTTCGGTTGCCTGTCTGCCTAACTGTATCTGTCTGTAGCTGTTGTTGGTAATTTCTCTGTGGAGGGAAAAAAAATAAATCTGCAGAGATCAGATAAAGTTAAAAAGGCTTGTCAATTAGCATTCCTCAGTGTAATTAGAGCCTAATAAACCTGCTTCTTTATCTCTCTCTGTCTCTCTTCACAGGAAAGACGTTGGTTTGAGGCGTTTTTTCCCAAAAGACCTGTTGGATTCAGTCAAGGTGAGAATCATATGTTTAGAACTGAGATCAAAAGAGAGGGGGAACACACAAAGTATAATGAGTCAGGTTGTTCAATAAGAGGGTTTCTGATCAAAGTTTTGGTGCCCTGGTAGGTTGACTGAGTAGTAGTCTCCCTTCATTCAGCAGCTGCTATCCCAGTGCCCCAGCTGCTCGTCTGGAGTTGCTCAGTTACCAAAAGTACCCAAACCCTGTGGTTTTATGGGCAGCTCCATAGTGTAAGTGAAGGTGCCCTCTAGCCAGTTTTTTTAAATGTGTTACTTGATGTTTTGTCTGGTCTAGCTGACAGAGTGTGAGGCAGTGCCAGACTCCAATAGACTGAAATGAAATCTTGGCCAACTAACCAGTGGAGTTTAGATGAATGGAGTTGAGTAAGAGAAAGAAGAGGAAAAATGTTTTACCAGAAAGGCTTATGTTCTGTTTATCGATGAGTGTGATGAATGTCGAAACTTTTTGCTAGATGGAGAGCGCCCATAGAAACCGGATACTGTTGCATGTAAACCATTCCGGTTTCCCACCATCCTCTGCCATGTTAGCAGGTTTGGTGCCAACCAAATGTAGAAATGAATTAGTCAAACAAATAATATGATGATCAAAGATGTAATGATTTCATGCTGAAATAAGGGGAAAGTGTGAGTTCAGTAGAACAGAGCATTATGTTGTATCGTTGCTTTAGTTTTTCATTTCCAGTGATGAGATGAAGAAGTTATATCCAGAGAAGTGGTAACTGCAGCACACAACTGGGGTCCTCCTCAACTATTGAGGTAACTTAGTTTAAAGATGATGATCAGACATCTGGATACTGTTATGATCATATATACAGAACTATCAATAACCAGATTTCTCTCTTCCATGTAAATATCATATCTCGTATAAGACCAACGTCAATGGTAAAATCCCATCATGTAAAGTTTAGTTGGATTTAAATATTATTTAACAGCTTAAATGTAATATGGAACAGTATTAGTTACATTACAGCTCATCTTTATTAAGGTTTCTACTGAAACGTACTTCATATTGATGGTGAGCAAATCTTCAGCACCTTCCCTCTGCAGTGTTAATAACATTCAGGAGATGAACTAACATGAAGCTTTTGTGTTAGATTGATTTATGAGTGTGGCAGATTTGGGTAGTGTACGTTTGTATGTGATGGCTGGGTGTGCTTGCATAATGAGCAGTGTCTGTGTCAGTGATAAATTTACGGCACGCGTTTACGGGGAGGGTCTTCGTGTCTGTCTGTCTGTATGTGTGTGTGTGTGTGTGTGTGTGTGTGTGTGTGTGTGTGTGTGGCATGAAGGAAAGGCCCAGTGACCCAAAAAGGTCTTGATGTCAGCAGGCGGCCAGACAGATGCTCTGCAGAGGGACAGAAACTGTGTGTGTGTGTGTGACCCTCGGGTCATGTTTAAACCCACTTTCTCTTTCCAACAATGAGGAGGGAGGGGGAAGGCGTCAACGTGCGTCTCCTTCTGGGGTTGCCCCCGCCACCCCCGTCTGTCAAGCCCTGCTGACTCCCCCCTCATCAGCTGCCCACCTACCTACTTTACCTCCTCTCTTCTCTTTCTCTCATTTTCTGATAACACACACTCCATTTTGATCTGCTTTATTAGCCATGAATAAGCACACACGCATGCAGTCAAACATCCACAAATTGGACTGATGCTGTGGTTTAAGATATTTTAAAGACCAAACAATTTATCAATTACTTGAGAAAATAATTGAAAATGGAAAAAACAATCATTACCTGTAGTCCTAATGAGTTGGCTGTGCCTGTCTTTGAGTTCAAGTATTTGTATACGCATAATTATATCATATTTTATTAGTTAAGGTTAAGCAAACGATAAGTGTCTGACACATCTGCTCTTACATACATACATAGATATGTGTTAGAGAAATAGAGAGAGCACAGCTGTCATCTATGTTTCTGTCCTTTGCCCTGCTGAAAGAGAATGGTAGTCATTTAATGGGATTATTCTCCCTCAATGGACTCCACTACCCCACACACACACACACACACACACACACACACACACACACACACACACACACACACACACACACACACACACACACACACACACACACACACACACACAACCCCTGAGCAGATGGCTGTGGTAGTAAACAGTGACTGATGTTAGCTGTGGTGAAAGCGTTATAAAGAGCAGAGTCTGTTCTTTAATATTGACAAGCTGGGCAGCAGGTTTAGTAAAACTGACCTTTGGTTTCTTTGGAGATCAAAGTTTGAACAAGCAGCCCAGCTTGATGCGAGGAGTCTGTTTGCCCTCATCCGATTGATAACTTATTGAATTACTCTCAACTTTATGAAACTGAGGATTACCACAAAACAATTTGGTGATTCTGCAGTGAGATTCATTGCTACATTTTACAGGAAATAACATTTTGAAGAGCTATTGGCAACAAAGCACAATTATCAATGACATTTCTAAACAAAACCCTTAAATATTGTGTGGACGTGATAACATTTTTGACTTTGGAATGAAGACCATAAACGATTATTAGTATAGTCTCCTGTGATTTTATTATTTACATCATGAATATTTGTTTAAAAGCTTTAAAAGCTGAAACCAAGCCAGGAAGGTTTGTTTATACAGTCTATGCAGATTCATTGATAATTTATGCATTGGTTAAGTACTTTTTGTAATGTATAATTTATCACAGCGAATCTGGGTTTTGTGCAATACTGGTCTCTTAGTTTTAATTGAGCTGAACTTAATAAGAATATACAATATGTAAATCAGTATTACTATCAGTACACAACACAGAAAGAATTTAATACATTTAAGTCCGTAAAAAAGCAATTTTTGTACTTTTTTTTGATCTGAAAAAAACCTGGCGAGGTCGAAACCAGCTGGCATTTTAACAAATATGCACAATTAAATAAAGCCTTTAAACATAACTCCTCTACCTGCTCTGTCTGAAGAATGTTCTCTTTTCTGTGACGAAGTAGATCATTTTAAATGGAAAGAGCAGATTTACCAGGATAGGCCACTAATGACACAACATGGTATCGGACCATTCTGCATGAAATACATACAAGCAACTTAGTGAGACAAAAATAACACCAAAACTCCAAATTACCTCCAGCCACTACAGCTAAGGAAGCACAGAGACATGATACACACAGCCATTATTGTGTCCTTCAGCTTGTAAACAGAGTTAAGAGTTTTACAAAAATAAAAAGATATACAGTGTAAGTGCTGTCAGTGACTTGTCAGCGTGATGATGGGAAGGGTGATAGCCACTCACAGTACTTCCTCTCAGGAAGGGTGGACACTTTGGACTGACAATATCCCTAAGTGTGTGTGGTGGAATTCCAGGAATTAACACACTGATCCTATCAAAAGCAAGAAGAACGCACATACACATTATATTCTGTAATCAGACGTGCGTTATGACATCTGTTGAAATGACACACATGCACATACATAGCTGAACACACAGGAGCATTGTAGACTATGAGTGTGTGTTTGTGTGTGTGTGTATTTGTTGGTTTCTTGATTCTTTCAGGCTTAATGAGTAGACAGCTGGCAACAGGCCTCTGAAGTATAGAGATTCATGCTTTTATTTACAAATGAATGATAAAAGTAGGAATAGAAATAGAAAGTGGCTTAATAAAATGCATAATAGAAAACTTAATGATTCTGCTCTCAAAAATGTTAAATGTTTAGTACATACAGAGGGTTTATACACACTGTACATAATGTTTTTTGTGCCTCATTAGACCTGAAATGTGTTAATTGCTTGCTTCTAGGTTAAATTAAAGTCAATAAATCAATGCAATTGATTGCCATTTGGTCCTAACTTTAATTGCAAAACTGTTTTGTATTTTGTGTAGAATGACCTTAATGTGATGAACCAGTCTACTGTAAATCCACAGTTTTTTAAGCCTGGTCTGTAGTGAACTAAATCTCCTCTAATCTTTATCTTAATCTATATATGGAGAGCTATTTATAGTTTGGGATTGTCTGTACTGTATGTGTGCGTGTGTGAATGTGTATTTTCACTGAATGTACTTAGTGTTTATGTGTGTTTGAATAATACTGCCATCAATATACATTTAAATGTCCTTAATAGTGCATATTTATGCATAGATACGTATGAAAGCTCAAGATCATCAAGATCCTATTCGGAAAAGGGGTTAAAAAGGTTATTTTGTCAGCGGTGAATCCCTCTTCATGTAAGTCCTAATGTTTTTAGATATACATCAGATAAAGCAGATTATATATGAGATTGTGTATCTGTGCGTGTTGCGAATCTTTATGTCGAGATGAAGTATAGAGAGGATTGTAAATGACAGAACAATGTTCCTAGATGGATTTTCTTTCTGTCAGCACCCATCTGTCTACTCTCCAGTGACATAACAGACCTTTAAAAGAAAAAAACAAACCAAAAAAAAAACCCCACATGCCAGTGAGCAGGAAAACACAACCGACACACTAAAAATTCTGTTATACACTACAGATGAATGGGCAGACGCTGATGTTTAATTGAGTGGTAACTAACAGTATCAATGTGTCTTTGTTAAGATATTGATCGGAACTAGGAGTGTCCCTGGAATGAAGTGCTGAGGTCAATTTGATTGGAACCAGAGTGGCCTATTAGTCAATCAATGTCTCTGTCACTGTGTGCCCACACATATGCACGCACACACTCATCCCATCAGTACCCTACAGATTTGCTCTAACAACAAGATAATATTTTAGATAAAGTTAGATTTTTAAATGTAATTTTCCTTTCCCGTTCCCTCCCATCTCTGTCCTCTCTACAGGCTAAAACTCTTCGTAAGTTGATTCAGCAGACATTTAAGCAGGTAGCCAATCTCAACGATGAGCAGTGCATCCTGAAGTTCTTGGAGATACTTGCGGCAATCTACCGCTACGACAAGGAGTGCTTCAAATGTGCTCTCGGGGTAGGTTTCTTCCATTCTTGCCTCCCCTCTGCTGTGTCCTCATGCACTCTGAGAGCTCCTGTTAGCTGTGTTAGGTTGACCCCTTTTGGTGGCATCAGGTCTTGCATCCTGACTCACCCTCTTCCTCTTTTAACTTGTATCCCTCCTGTTCCCTCCAACAGTCCAGCTGGGTGATCCAGGTGGAGTTAGCCATCGGACCAGAGGAAGGGATCAGCTACCTCACTGACAAGGGATCCACGGTGAGTTCTTATAGAGACCATACTGTACTACCCAGCTGGGTTTATAATACGTTATGAATGACCTCTGCTTCTCATGTTCTGTATCCAGAAATGTTTTCCAGGCCAAGACCTCCTGAGATAAAGATAGCCATTAGATATCACTCGTTCATTGATTATTAATGAATAGTTCATGGCCTAGTTTACATGATTTAATTTCTGTTTTGTCTGTGTTTCTCTCTCTTTGTCCTCAGCCTACCCATCTAGCTAACTTTAACCAAGTTCAGTCCATCCAGTATTCAGCTATGGAGGAAAAGGACAGGAAAGGGATGCTACAGCTCAATGTAGCCGGAGCTGCTGAGGTACTATAATCCTGTCTGTCTTTCTGTCTGTCTACATACATACATAGAAATGTGTTCTACAGGTCCATTTTTTTTAAAAGCATACCATGAAAACCTGATTTACATTTATATGTAGTTAGATTACTATTCAGTCTACCATTATGATAAAAAGACGATGCCCATCGCTCCTTCTTTTTATGTAATCTATCTTTATGGCGAACATTATGGTTCAAAATATAAAAAGTGTGTTTAATCTCAGACACTTTTGGTGACAAATCTGTGAACATGGCAGTTGTCTGCATTAGTGTTTTTATGCTAATTTTGATCTCTGCCTTTGCTAATCATTGTGGAGGAAAACACCAAACCTGTCTACTATCAGTTTGCCAAGCTTTAGGCTCCGAAAAGGACAGAAGATTGCGAAGCACCCTTATACCATTAAGTTTTCTCATTCTCTAAAGGCAGTTTTGTTGGTATTTTCATAGTCATGATGACCCCTTTGTCCTCCAGTGGATACTAAAGAGCCACCATAAGCTGTCCCCATCATGGTGCATAGCTTGGTTACTTGGCCCTCTGTGTGTGAGAGTGTACGACTGAGATGGATACGGAGATTAACTAATGGTTTTCCATTTATAGATTCCACATAATGGTTCTACTCACAGAGGAAGGGTTTCGTTACACCCGCTGCTGTATGAGTGGAGTCTTTCTGTTTTATTGGCCTTTATAGTATTGGATTTACTTACACACACATAAATACTGTGAGAGAGAAGAGTCTTCCCCTGACATAAGGAGCAGCTGGAAACCCCCACTGTGCTGTTATGTGTAAGAGTGTGTGTGTCTTTGCGGATAATGGCTCTTTTGTAACATGCCTGCCACTGTGTGTGTGTGTGTGTGTGTGTGTGTGTGTGTGTGTGTGGTGTGTGTGTGTGTGTGTGTGTGTGTGTGTGTGTGTGTGTTTGTGTGTTTGTGTGTTTGTGCGGTTGTGCATGTGTGTGTGCAGCCTCTCACGGTTACAACAGCATCACTGACCATGGCAGAGAACTTGGCTGACTTGATTGACGGTTACTGTCGGCTCGTCTCCATGGAAACTCATTCCTTCATCGTCAGAGTTCAGAAAGGTATAAAAACCTTAGATCCCACCTTTTCTGTCCGCCTCTTTAGGGTTAAACACAAAAATACAACCCTGTACACCTTTTTATTGGGTGTTTTTTGGAGTTTTTTAGTCATAAAACATAAAATCCTGTATGTAGTCTTACACATTTATTGTGCTTCACGTTACTCATTCAGATCCTGATGATGTGTGTTTTTGTCCTCTAGAGGGAGAAAGAGCACTGCCATCCATCCCAAAGTAAGTACCAGTTTTATTCTTAGTGTTGTTACACTAAAATTAACATTACAGAAATCTATAAACTTACTCATATTACAACTTTAAGCCATCAGATCTGTAATCTTGCTCATACAAAGATGGTATATGGGCTGTTTGAGGCTTAGCAGTCCAGTCACACAATTATGACCTTTCTGGAACAAAAAATGATCTTTAGAAGTTCAGATAAACATAACTCAATAAACATACTCAATGTTTGCTTGTAACAGTAAAGGTTGGCATGCAGCCAGGCTAATAATTATGTGTCTTTCAAGCCAACATTAATGACAAATAGCTGTTGAATTTATGATCATTCAAAATTAAAGGGGGTCAGCCTCCTCTTCATGCTTTACGCCACAGTTCTTCTGAAAATAAAAGTCCTGTAGTTACTCGCCTGTTGTAAGAAGAACAGTAAATCAGTCGGACTTTCAGGGCAACATACATTTTAACGATGGTTCGATATAATCACTTTTTATCTTTGTAAGATTTTGTTGTTAAAGTTTATGTTGCATATTTGTTTTTTTAATGTGTTAAATAAGTGAAGCGCTGAAACAGGTAGTTGATTGACAGAAAATTGATTATCATCAATGTTGATTTTTTATGAACTAGATTACTGATTGACTTGTTGTAAAAAATAATTGACAGATTAACCTATAATAAAAATAATTGTCAGTTGCAGCCCAGTTGTCTTATATTGACATGGTAGTTAAATATAAATTACATCAAAACTCAGTTTAAAAAATGCCCAAACTATTTACCCATAGTTCAACCTGCATTATTTTCTATTAGAAAAAGAGCCTTTTTAGAGGCTTTTGGCTCAGAACAGCAGAGCCTTAAACATTTCTTTGAGAGGAAACATTGGGACTTCTTTGAAATGTGGATTTTTTTGTGTTTGTTTATCTCTGACAGTACGAGCCTGGACATGGTGTGTTCACTTTTCACTGTCAGTTGATCAAATTCCAAAACAGACTTTTTGCTTACTTTTGGTCATTTCAACTCAAATCTCTCTCTCTCTCTCTCTCTCTCTCTCTCTCTCTCTCTCTCTCTCTCTCTCTCTCTCTCTCTCTCTCTCTCTCCCCCTGTCTCTGGTCAAATAAGGAGATAAGTTTAAGAGCCAAATATTTTCCACTTAGGGTTTTTAAACACTTGGGCAGTCTCCTCCTCTTTCTCTCGGTCTACTCACTCTAAGTTTCTCTTCGCTCACTGTCTCTCTCTTTTCCTCTTAGCTTGTTGTGGTCTGTGATGTAAAGACCGTAGTAGAGCTCAGATGACACAGGCAGGAGAGACCACGGCAAAGACAGAGAGATAATTGAAACAGTAAGGGTTAGTTTACAGAAGCAACGGCCGACTCTCTCAATGAAACCTGACTTTAAAAATCACTGTATGTTAAAGAGGCTTTAACCTAGGTATGTTTGGTTTGTTATATCTGTTAACCGCTTCGTCTGGTGTGTAATCGCTGTCTAATTTGTTGTTGGTTGATTTTTTTCTCCTCTTCAGAGTGTCCAATAATGAGAAAAAGCTAGAAGCAGTCAGGAGTGGAGTAAGGGCTATCTCTGTCTCAGGTAAGATAAAGAATCATGCACACACAGACACTCACAAATCGACCGGTTTAGGAGTCTGATTGCGTCCTTGGCTCCAAGTACTGTCTTTCTTTCTGTCTTTCCATTTCCTCCAACATCTGTTTTTTCTCTCACTCATTTTTTTTCTATTTCATCTCTCATTGTTGTCCTCTCTGTTGGGACTGCCTCTCCCTCCCTCTCTCTCTCCCATCTCGTCCTCTCTGTTCCTGCTTTCTTTTGTTTACTTCCTCCTCTCCCCTTCGGTCTTTCTCACATCTCCCCTCTGTACTTGCATCCATTCACTCACTGTTCTTCCCCCCCCCCTTCACACTCTGGTCTTCTCTTCCTGCCTGACTGGCTGCAGACATAGTGACATCGACCCCTCCTAAACCAACCAAGGCGCGGCGTTTCCTCCTCCCCTTTGTCTTCTGTTCAGATTCGCCGCCCAATGGTATCCTCGGCTCTCATTGGACAGTTAGTGGAGGAGGGCATCCACAAAATTGTGATGTGGCGGAATAAAATGCCTGATTTGATGATCTTGCTTATTGGGTAATGTTACTTTGCATTCAAGGAAACGCAGATGGGGCACAGAAAAACCTCACAGAAAGTAGCCTATTGATGAAATCTGAAATAAAATTGCACAATAAATCTTTTATTATATGGGAGTTGTTTTAAAAGTATTATTTTAATTGATTTAAACCACAAATGTAAAGCGCTAATATATAATATATACTATATTAAAAATATTGACATAGTTTTGGTAGCAATTTTAAATGTTTACGAGTAAAATAAAACAATTCCGGTGGTTGAATTACTTTTATCTGCTCCATCACAATCTATCTCATTTTTAAAGATGCCCTCTCCTACTAAACTGTCTTTGTCCTCAGTGCGTGGTTGCTTTGACTAATTCAGTCTTGCACACACACACACACACACACACACACACACACACACACACACACACACACACAAACACACTTACTTCAACCACAATAACTGCTTGTGTGTTGCTGCTTATAACCAAGCCAACGCTCTTTAAATAAGACTGGGAAACAAATGGAAAGAACTGTTGTTGTGCAGTACTTTCTAAAACCTGAGGCTTATGTGTGTTTTTCTTCATATCAGTAACCAGTTTTTACACTTTACCTCAGATTTGAGAACAAGTTTTCAGTCTTCTAACTGCTCACAAAGGCAAAGGCTGATTACCTCTTTGTAAAATGCTTATTTTTTAAATTCAACAGCACTAAAATAAAGAGTAAAATGGTTCTCTCCAGTCTCGGTTTAGCAAATGTCTTGCTCTTGAGGTCACAGTGTGGTTATTTTAACCATTATTTTCAGTGTTTAATGTCAGTTTATTCAAACGGGCAGAGCTTAGTTCATGGCTGGGTGGCCAGTTAAAAAAGATATATCTGCCCTGTTAAAGTTTCCTCAAGCAGCCAATCAGCACTAGCTCAGGAATGTTCTGAAGCTAGAAAAACCTCTATTGAAATTGCTTATTAAATATTACAAAATATACGTGTCCTATACCAAGGTGGACTTACTGAAAGGGTCAGTCGTGTCCTCATGTCTCTATGTATGGCCTTGGCAGCTTTCCTCAGTAGCTAGCAGGCCTGGATCTGGACACCAGCTGGTTTGTTGCTGAAACCTAACAAACGATCCAAACTTTTTCTGCTGGAGACTCCAAATGTGACACGCAGGCATGGTTGACATCCTACTTTTAGAATTTCAAACTTCACTGTGAACTACTGTAAGTCAATTGAGATGGTAATAACAGCCTAATTTGTGAAGCACTTTTTAAAACACAACGTTAACAAAGTGCTTCACAGGATTAAAATAGTAGAACTATAATTAAAACTTACAACACACACAACAAAATAAATGAAAAAGGAAAGCACTGTTTTATATATCTCTGAGTCCAAACACAGCGTAGATGTTTGAGTTTGAGGTAATTGTTTTGCCATGTGCAACTGTCAGAAAAACGTGCCAGCATTGATAAAAGGAATAAAAGGACATTATTTCAATGGATTGGACAATTTGGAACCAGTTCTCAATTCCCAACCAGGTTTGTACTGTACTGAAGCAATATTATAAGTATTTAATAATATGGTTGTAGACTACTATGTCTATTTTGTTTATTTATTTTTTTCTGTGTAAGCTGTCCGTAAAAAAGAGTAGAGCGGAGAAAAGGCAGCGAATCGTCTTCACTGTAAGGAAGTGGGAAGCTAAGCAAAGCTAAAGACACAAGTAGCCAAAGCAAGGACTTAAATAGTTTTGGGAAGTCTGCTTTGTTGCGTTCTTACTAAGAGATGGATGAGAAGAAGTACACCACTCTCGGCTGTGTCCATGAAGTAACAGGCAGGAGACGGTTAGCTTAGCTTAACTGAGCTGCTTGCATGAAGATTTTGTTACCTTCAGATAAAGGTGTTTGTCATAGTTTCCAGTCTTGATGCTAAGCTAAGCCAACTGGCTGCAGGCTGTATATTAGCCATAGAGACATGGAAGTGGTATCAACCCTCTCATTTAACTCTGGGTAAGTAAGCGATTAAGCGTATATCCTAAAGCTCTTCTCTTAACGACAGAAGTGATGTGGTTTTTCCTCTTTGTTTGTGTTAAGATTCTTAAGAGACACATACAGTAATCCAATATAGTTGAAACTGCTGTATATTTCCACTGCCCCTGACAATATGAAACCTTACAATTATACATTAAATGAACCTTTTTCTCGAAGCTCTGACGGTTGAAGTTCTAACTCTACTCACTGCTTATGTTACACCACTGGAACTCATGTTAAAGCTCTTCTGTCTGCTAACCATACAGTAACTCTCCAACTCAATAATATTTACAGCTTGACACAGACATCACGCTTCACTGAAACCATACTGGAGTTTCTTCCATTAGTTCATTTAACCTACATGTGTCTGCACAGCATTAATGAAAGTTGTTAACTCAGCTTTTTTACTGAAGATATTTTGGATATTAACTAACTGCTCGCTGAGCTTTTGGCTTTGCAGATCCAGCAACATGTCCTATGTTGTTTCAAGGCTTTTCATGCTCTAACCGCTCTCCTTCTCTCTCCCTCTTTTCTCCACTATGCCTCCTGCTTTTCTCTCACTCTCCTTGCTGCTTTCTCTCTCCACTCTCCTCCTCCTCCTATGCTGTCTCGTTTCCTGCATGCTCTCCTGGACCCTGCAGAAGATCTTAGTGGGGATGGTAAAGTTACGCTGTTGTTTTATCTCTCTGTTGTTCCGTCTTTGTAGTCCTCACTCCACCAACACACTGCAACCTCCCTAGTGTGTGTGATTGTGTTGGTGTGTGGGGGTTGATGTTTATGCATGCATTCTTATATCTTTAACAACGGTGTGTTAACAATGTGTGTATGTGCTGTATTGTGTACATATAGAGTGACTGAAATTATTTAGAATGAAATGATTCTTTAGCTGAGGGTGTTGCTGCTCATGTTTCAGTGACTGGAAACATGCACCAGTACTTTGATCTGTTGGTAGCTTGAGCGGTTTCCTGTTTCAGTATTGTTTTTGTCTGTGTCTATTTGTGATTATTTTTTTGTAGATTGCCACTAAATTGGAAATATGTCTGCTTTAAACCACAAGAACAAAAGCAGAATTTGAAAATTAAGTGGTATTTCTCTTTAAGGGAACTTCTCCAAATCTGTCTGTCTCTCTCTCTCTCTTCACACACACACACGCAAAATCATGCACACGTGTACTCACGTACATTCATGCACACACACAGCGGAGAAGGGAGAGGTTTGCTGGATTCAAGAGCGGGTGCATTCCTGGCTATAATGGGCTAACTAGATCACACACACACATACACATAAACACACATGCAAGCACAAACACACATTATCCCTCCACTGAACGCAGAAAGAGAGTTAGACCAAACTTAGAAACGGTTGATTCTTTAGAACAAACCACATGGGAGCGAATATGCAGCAATACAAACAATGCACTTCACAGTACAAACTAACAAATACCTGTGAAACTATGTGTACAATTGAAACAATATTAGTGTTTTATCATTTCACACACTGTATGGAAACACTGATAAGCCTGGCTGGATGTAGAAATAAATAAAAAAAAAAGTTTCTGTTGCTGACATGTTTTATTGAATAAACCATGACTGATAAAAACCACCTTTTGCTGAAATGCTAGGCTTTTTATGATGAGTTTATCTAATAAAACACATTTTAGTAGCAGCTGCAGAGTAAGCAGTGCTCTTGCTTTTATTCCAGCTCATATGAAGATATTTTTAGAGGCGCATTAAAGTCTTTCCTTTCCTCTCATGCGAAACATTAATCATGCACAGAAATGGTTTAGCAAAAGTCATGCCTGTTTGATTAAAAGTTTAAACATTTTCCAACCTCTTCTTCTAAGGACTGCTGCACTGGTATAGTAATGGTAGTAATGAGAGTAAAAGTTCTAACCTAAGCCTACAGTGTCCTTAAAGGAATAGTCTCATACTTTGAGAAACATATTTATTTGCTTACTTGCTGAGAGTTGGATGAAAAGATTGAGACCACTCTCATGTCTGTCTGTTAAATATGTAGCTGTGGTCAACAGCTGGTTAGCTTAGAACGCAGACTGGAAACTGATATATTTACAGAGTGGGTGGTATCCGTTTTCTCATCCAACTCTTAGCAGAAAATCAAATATTAGGTATTTCTGGAACTATTTCTTTTAACATTAAACACTCCAATAACATCCAACTAATGCAAACCCAGTGTATTGTTTACCCTGCCTTACGTTAACAACTAGTGCTTCAGCTCCAGCTTATTTCTACATAGCAAACTGTGCCATGGCTGACTTTCTTGATGGCAGAGCTTTTCTTGAGAAAATCAGCTACAGGCTTTAGAAAAGGATTTCTGATGAATTTAGGGACACGTTCCCACAGAGCCTGATAAATCCTGAGCAGAGCTGCGAGGGTAACGTTCAACACAGCAGATGTTTGACTCTTGTTTCCAACAGCTGAGTCTGTACGCTGATTTTATTTTAAACACCGCCATCTGGTTAGGATAGACTGGGTCCATCTTTTCCTTTATTTTTTTCCCCCCCCGCTGGCTCTCTCGTCTCCGCCTCTCTCTGCCTATCTGTCTGATTATGCCCAGATTCGATCCTAAACGCTACCATCTGTTTACATGACAGCTAGACCCTCAATCGGTGGTTCTCTTTCTTACTCTCTCTTATTCTTGTGTCCTTTTTGACTGATTTCTCCTTCCTGTTCTCTCTTCCATGCTCTACTTGTCTCTCTTGAACTCTCCTTTCTGTCTTCGTCTCTACTCTGTTTCTTTCCCTCCACTCCTCCACCACCACAGTTACTCCCAGCAGCCAGCTGCTCTCACACAGACAGATATGCACAACACATGCTCAGCTGACACTCTCCGCCAAGTGTGTGTGTGTATGTATGTGTGTGTGTGTGTGTGTGTGTGTGCGCAGAGAGAAAGGGAGAGAGGAGCTACGTGGGTGTTGCTTTGCGCAGGAGTTGTCGAAACTTTGAGTTAGCTCTGTGCTTTATTTCTTAGTGTTTTAGTGCACTTTTTGTTTTTAAGCTGTACACGTGTTGTGTTTGTATCAGTCTCAGGCTCTTCATGCCATAGTGGACTCATGGTAAACTGAACATGTGCATGATCATCCCATTGTTGGTGTATTGCCTACATGTGCCTGTGTGTGGGTTTTTTCTTGTAACTCTCTTGTGTTTTTTTGTCTTTTTACACCATTTGTGTTTATCTAATGTTACAGAGACTGATGACTATGCTGAGATAGTTGATGAAGAGGACACATACACCATGCCCTCCAGTAAGTAACTTATTCAATCTTCTCTCCTTCGCTTATAACATCCTCCACCAACTAGAGTCATTTGTGCTCAAGAAAATGAGCTGCTGTTACTACAGTAAGGGAACTATATAATAACTGTTATTCTTCGGTCAAATGCTTGCGTTCCTCCAGCAAACAATTTCTTTCTGCTATCTGATAGCCGAGCGTGGTTGTGAATCTTTTCCAAGAAACACACTTGCACGGGGAACATCAGAGAAGTTATATTAAACCACATTTGGTTAGGTGGAGGCTAATCAAATTATATAAACAGCTGGAGGTCAGAGAGGCTACAACTCATACTGAGTTGTAACTTCTGTTGGTTAGACACATTACATCTGTCAAATTCATTCACGTGTTAGTCAAAGACCGTGAATGTGCCGGTAGGTTTGGCTGTAGCCCTGTAAGTAATGGTGGCTTCAGCCCTCTGTTCCAATACATTTGATGTGGATGTTTCAGCCAGTACAAACTACTCATGTGTTTGATTGCGTGGCCAACTTTGAAAATGGACTGTGTTCTCATTTCCTCCCACAGTCTTTTTTTCTATCTTTTTCTGTCTGGTTTTATTTGTTTGTCTCTTTCACTTTGCTCTTTTCGGTCTCCTTCTTTCTGCAACTTCCTCTAAAAAGACTTTTTTGCACACATATTTTCCCACTCTGTGTCTGAGTTTGCATGCATGTGCATGTCATAACTGTCTACTGTATGTATTAAACGAGGCTGTGTAACAGTAACGTGTGTGTGTATATAGCAAACCTGCTCTTTTAGCCAGTCTGTGGCAGTATCAGCTCAGTTTTTCATTCATTAACGTATTTATTAACTGAACATCAGATATAGAGTGAAGTGTGTGTGTGTGTGTGTGTGTGTGTGTGTGTGTGTGTGTGTGTGTGTGTGTGTGTGTGTGTGTGTGTGTGTGTGTGTGTGTGTGTGTGTGTGTGTGTGTTATCTGAGCTATTTTCAATCTTAAAGCAGCTGTCTGGCTCTCTCCCTCTCTTCATCTCTCTTTCTTCCTCTTTCTCCCATCGCCAACACAGTCAGCTATGGAGTAGTTGAAGGTAAAATTCCCTGCCTCTCTCCCTCTCTCTCGTTCTGTCCGACCACAATGCCTTGAGATTTTACATTTTTACTGATATTTTTCTTTGCCGGGTACTTGATTACATTGTAGGTAAAGATTTACCTCTGAAGCCTTCCTCATTAAAACTCATCAGTGCATCTTCATGCAAGTTTGTTCAAACCTATCCATACCCATTTATTTACATGAGTACTAGTATCAATGCTGAAGCTTTTATGAGTAGTAAGATTTTTATTTCATCGTTAGTATCCGGCAAAGAAAAATACAAAGACTCAAAGCACCTAATATCCAAATTGTTGTTGACTTGCGGTCGTTGGTGTTTTGTAGAATGCAGTTCATTCGGGTCTGGTGTTGGAAATGAAAGGGAGGGCCAATCCATAAACAATGCAAGATGTGAACTGTATTTGTGTTGTTTATTGACTTGATTCTCATTTCACCATCATGTCGGTTATGAGATTTTTATTTCTTCATCGTAATTTATTATCATGGTCGTGTGTTTTTTTTTTTCCGGTCATCTGTGGGTTCTTTTCTGTTTGAAGCAATTATTAGTTCCCTGCAAGTGAACTGCGATATGGATTAAATGCAGTACATTTCCTTGTAATGGAATGTGTTTTGGTTACGCTGTTGGTGTTGGATTTTTCTGTTTATCTGTTGGTTGAGTCAAACAGCCGAACTTCGTTCAGCCCAACAGATAAGTAAACTTTTACGGCATAAGTTCCCGGTTGTCAGTGTCCTGCATAAACCTCTTGAACTCAGTACTGAGTCAATTTCTGTTACTGCGGCTGGTTGGCAGCTGACATTAATGCACCTCTGTAGAAATGTTTCATGACCTTTACAACAAGACGGAAATATTGATAACAACTGTAAAAGTTAAAATGTCAAAAGCATGTGAATGTCACTTGCAAAAACAACCGCTTCCATTCAGATACTTCTGGAATATGAAAAGGTTATGTCGACTGCACTTCAGATCCAGTCCATCCGTTTACATCAGACCTTTTGAATATTTGGCTAAAAACATCCAGGCCAAGGCGTTCTTCTCCGCCTTGCGAAGTGTTTTAAGAAGTGGGCTCTTGATGTTTACATGCACAGAGCACTCCAGGTGTTTATCTCTATTAATGATCTTATTCAGGACAACATGTTTATGTGTTTCCCCTGTGGCCCTGTCAGTATACAGGAATAAACAGAAAGTGATAATGGGACTCTGATGTGCATGTAAACACAGCTTTTTATGAACCGTAGATTTTGCCTTTTCAATGGGTTGACTGTATGTTGGTGTGTTTGTAATTTTGTGTGTCAGTGTGCATGTTATGTCAAGGTTTGTCTAGTTAGAGGGGTTAGGGGAAGGGACTATAATCTGAATGTATAAACATGGGTTAAAATGTATTTTTTTTATATTGTTGTTTGTTTGTTTTAGTTTAATCTGATTGCTGGTAGGTAGGGTTTACCAAAAAAGGACAATCAATTTGCTGCCAGAAAGTTAGAAATCATTCAGAGTTTCTTAAAAGTATCTTAATACTTTTACTTATACTAATTATTAAAACAATTACCTGATGCCATCCAAATTGTCTTGTCCTGGTAAGCCCCATCCATGTGGTCTGAGAGAAGCATGTCAATGTGATGGGTCTTTCCTGTGTTTCCAGTGTATGAAAAACAGCAGGTAAACGTGTGTATCTCACTCTGTGCACTTCTTTTCTCTCTTTTTTTCCCTTCCTCCTCTCTCTCAGCGCGGGATTATGAGATCCAGAGGGACAGGATAGAGTTGGGCCGCTGCATAGGAGAGGGTCAGTTTGGAGATGTACACCAAGGAGTCTACAACAGCCCGGTATGTGGAAATACACTCGGGCACACTCATGCACATACATCGGACAAATAGAAAGTGAAAATAAGACTCAGATAACTTTTAAGGTGATAGAATACCAGATGGTTGTCAGTTTCCAGTCACAGATAACTTAAGTGACTTTCATGTTCTTTATTGTCTGATAGTTACTATAGTTATCATCAAGCTAAAACAAACCGTTGTCATTAAAATATTCTGCACCAGCGTATAAAGATCAGATTATGTACTGCTTATGAGAATACTTTGGAAGCTGAAAATACTGAGTTACAAAGCTTTACAAACTTTTTTGGTGCAAATTAATAATTGTTGTCAGGTTGTTGTTGTTTTTTTTACACATTTTTATGAGTTTTGCCTGTTCATTGCATTACATTGTATGTGATATATGCTTTATTGTGATATACTATCGATATAAAAAAAATCCTTCTTTTTGTGAACCAGCACATAATCTATAATATGCTAACCTGTGATTTACTATACCATGTGCTCTGCAGGACAAACCAGCTCTAAATGTTGCCATTAAGACCTGCAAGAACTGTACATCAGACAGCGTCAGAGAAAAGTTCCTACAAGAAGCATGTAAGACCACACTGTGTTTTTCAAACACAAACAAACACCAGCGTTAATAGCCACATGCAGTTAGAGTGAAATTATTAGCATCGTCGAAGAGATGGTGGTAACTGAAGTGCATTAATAAGGGGTGTCGCGTCTAGACTTTCCAGTGGTATGGCAGTAGTGATTGTAGCCAGGCAAAGCAATTATAGAAAGAAATGGAGGTTGTGTGGTTATGCACTGTAGACATGAGGGAGAGCACCCCAAACAACAATCACTCTGAGAAAACACTCCATAACGAGTGAGTCACACTAGTCACAGATAGGAACATTTGAACGAGCAGGGAGAGTCACATCTTTTGTCAATTGGACCTTAAGGTGGGGCAGATAGCAGTTACAAGTGATGCACAATTCATGGTGCTATCAGTGGCTAAGTGTGTGTGTGTGTGTGTGTGTGTGTGTGTGTGTGTGTGTGTGTGTGTGTGTGTGTGTGTGTGTGTGTGTGTTTCCCTTGCAGTGACAATGCGTCAGTTTGACCACCCACACATTGTCAAGCTGATCGGAGTGATCACAGAAAACCCTGTGTGGATCATCATGGAGCTCTGTACTCTTGGAGAGGTACGCCTGAGGCTGTGTGGATAACAGTCACACACATACACTAAGTGGAGTAGAGAGTGTGTGTGGTGGCATGCACCAACATCTACTATGTTAAATAAATACACTATATGAAACAGTTTCTCTAACATTACCTCATCCCTCTTCCTCTGTCCATCTCTCTGTCTACAGTTGCGTTCGTTCCTTCAGGTGAGGAAGTACAGTTTGGATTTGGCCACTCTCATTCTGTTTGCCTACCAGCTCAGCACAGCACTGGCATATCTGGAGAGTAAACGCTTTGTACACAGGTACACCCACACACACACACACACATGCGCGCACACACACACAGAAAAGATTCAATAGACTGACTGAGGAATAAGTGTGAGCGATTGAGTGCATGTACTAGATTTACATTATAATAACCATGACAAATATATAGAAGTTTAAATTAAATTACCAGGACAGTTTCCGGAGTTTCCGAGGTTTTATTATCTAATGTAATCTTAAAATAAAGGAGTTAATAACAGATAGTAGTGGACATGTAATCTGCACTGTATGCTGCATAAATTTTACTTTGAGAATTCACTGAAATAAAGTGACAGAAAAGACATACAGTGTAGGGAGATCTGTAACAAATATAGACTGGTTTTCAGACACAGCTGTTGTTTCAAAGTACATCTCTCATGCTCTTTAATAGAGATTTTGGCATCTAAGAAATGACAAATAACATCTTCAATTCAGCGCTAACGACAGCCAATATCTTACAGGGACATCGCAGCTCGCAATGTGTTGGTCTCTTCAGTCGACTGTGTGATGCTCGGAGACTTTGGTCTGTCGCGATACATGGAGGACAGCTCTTACTACAAAGGTGATAATACACACATATACATACAGTAAAACAAATACACACTCATTCACATTTTGTGTAATGTATTAACACAGAACACTAATTCACTAATAGTTTAAATCTACCAAGACCATTTTGTAGTTTAGTGAATGTGACTGAGTTTTCTGGTTGCCAGTACTTTACCACCATCCAAAGGTTACATCAGGGTACTGCAGTTTGTCTTCACTTAAAATCACCTATTGCACATGTTGGCGTGTTATGAAAACAGCATCTTCTTCTCAGCTCTGACCTGATTGCGAAATTCACCAGCAACAGAGTTACAAGTTTAATGTTAGTTAAAAGAAATCGCTCTGTACATTATAGGTAATTTTGATGTATCTTTGTCTCAGCTTCTAAAGGTAAACTTCCTATCAAATGGATGGCTCCTGAATCTATCAACTTCAGAAGATTCACTTCTGCCAGTGATGTCTGGATGTTTGGTGAGTTAATGATCATTTATGTGTATTTGTGTGTTGTGTTATTTGCCATTAATAGGTAAAATATAATTACAGTACATCGTCTGAGAAACAGTCTTTTACTACACTATTTCTTCTATCATCTTTTAAGAGCGTCTGTGTGTGTTTGTCAATCATTTTCTGTCCTAGAGAACTACATCTGTTTGTTTCTCTGTAGGTGTGTGTATGTGGGAGATCTTAATGTACGGCATCAAGCCTTTCCAGGGGGTGAAGAACAATGACGTGATTGGCAGGATAGAGAATGGCGAGCGATTGGCTATGCCCCCTCAGTGCCCTCCCACCCTCTACAGTTTGATGACCAAGTGTTGGTCATACGACCCCAGCAAGCGACCGCGATTCACCGAACTCAAAACACAACTCAGGTAATAAAATGTTTTTGTCAGTTTGTGCTTAAAGATGCTTGTGTGTTGAATTTCAGTTAAATACTTAAATAATTGATGAAAACAAAAGATTGAAAGTGAATATTTCAATTTAAAGTTGCTCAATGTACAAAAAAGACAAGGAGTACTTTTTCTAATACTTTGTTTTGGTTAAATTTTCTGATGAGTTACGTCTTTATTGTCCAAATCCTGATACCATTGCCATAAACAAATCACAGTAGCCTGGTGGTGTGTTTTTATTATTTTCCTATGGATTCATTTTTCACCACTTATAAAGGTGATGATGTGGTTATTTTTCCTCACATTTCATCCAAAAAAGACTTATTTTCTTTTTCTGAGAAATATAAAAACAACAGATTAGTCGATCAATCAAAGTTAATCAGCAAATACTTTGATAATTGCTCAGTCATTTTTCACGCAAAAACATTTCAGAGTTTCAGCCTCACAAGGGGGATTTGCTGCTTTTCTTTTATATTATTTTAATTTACTTCCAATAATTTTGAGGTTTGGACTATTGGTTGGACAAAACAAAAATCACTTTGAGCTAATTAATGAATCAAGATGACATTTCTCACTGTTTTCCAAATTTCTACATCTGAAACAATCAGTTCATGGGGGAAAATAATCATCAGATTAATCCATAATGAAAATAATTATAAATTGTAGTCCTATGCAGTTAGCTCCACCTTAACCAACTACAACAGTAAAATCCTGCTTTTATATTAATGAGAATAATCTAATGATATAATATATGATACTTTTAACACTTACATATTAGTACATGTTCCTGACTATACTTGTAAAGGATCTCAGTACTTGACTAGATGAGTCATTTGTGTAAAACCTTTTTAGCACCATACTGGAGGAAGAGAAGCTTCAGCAAGAGGAGAGACTTCGAATGGAGATGAGGAGACAAGTCACCGTGTCCTGGGACTCTGGAGGGTCTGATGAAGCACCGCCAAAAGTAAGACTGAATGATTGTCTTTTTATTTCACTTCTCTCTGATTTTTCTTTTTGTATTTCAGTGCATGTTTTTTAATGGCTTACAAACAGAAACAAACCGTTATCTTTCTGCCTGCAGCCCAGTAGACCTGGTTACCCCAGTCCTCGTTCCAGTGAAGGCTTCTTCTCCAGCCCCCAACTCAACCACTTCCCGGTACAGCAAACACACACACACACACACACACACACACACACACACAGAATACACACATGCAAAAACACAGCTCCCATAGTGAGAGTACTGTGCTCCTCTGTTACTTCTCATCCACTGTGGCTGCAGCAGGGTTTTTCCTCTCACTTCCAGAGGTTTTAGGTGGCAACAGCAGCAGCATGCAGGAGTACATAGAGGAAGATTCAGGACTCAATAAAGTCTTACAAGAATCTTTTACAGCAAACATACTGTAACTTATTCAGAAACAACCATCATCATGTTCACCTTGCACGTATAAGCAGTGTAAGCTATGCACAAAGTGCCAACCGCCCCCCCCCTTATTCAACAAAATATATTGCTTTATGTTAGCTGACAGTTGTTAAGAGAGCCACCTAGGCAACGTAAGTTATAGATTACTATACCTCTTCGTCTGTGTGTGTGTGTGTGTGTGTGTGTGTGTGTGTGTGTGTGTGTGTGTGTGTGTGTGTGTGTGTGTGTGTGTGTGTGTGTGTGTGTGTGTGTGTGTGTGTGTGTGTGTGTGTGTGTGTGTGTGTAAAAATCCAGTGTGTAACATTTATGAGGATCTACTGGCAAAAATGGAATATAACATTCATATGTATGTTTTCATTAGTATAATCACCTGAAAACGTATAAGAATCATGTTTTTGTTACCTTAGAAAGAGACGTTTTTATCGGTTTTGTGTGAGTTTTGAGGCCACCGTAGTTTCCCCGACATTTCACAGGCCGTTCTTATCCCCAAGTTGTCAAATACAGGCACAAGCAGTGTTCGGTCAGTTGCAATCTCACCGCTAGATGCCACTAAATCCTACTCACTTATCCTTTAACACTGACTAAACTCCTTAAATCTTTTGAAGATAACAAAAATTGTAGGAATGTTGCTTTCGAGAAAGGTGCATTAATCACATATCTTGAAAACATACCAACACATCAAAATTATCTCTATAGTGACGGCGTTGCACGCTGTCATCACAGTAAAGGCCACCCCAGTAAACTCAGTATGTGAGTCAACTCAGAAGAAGACAGACTGTGTTGGAGGACAGACGTGTGCTGCATGTGTCAAAGTCAGAAAGAGAAATGTGAAGAAAGAGAAAATGAGAGGGACTTTCAGTGCAGTTATTCCGCTCCTCATAAACCGAGCAGACAGCAGGCATTTCCTGTAGTGCTAAAAGCCACTACACACACACACACACACACACACACACACACACACACACACACACACACACACACACACACACACACACACACACACACACACACACACACACACACACATACACACACACAAACCAAAGCCACTCTCCAGCTCTTAAGGCAATAAGCTTCTCTCTCTCTCTCTCTCACACTCTCTCTCTCTCTCTCGTCCTTATAAGGAGTGTGTAATGTTAACTGCTATATAAGTCAAACTTGATCATATCACAAGTAAGAATAACATCTATATATTTTGGTAGCATGTATTACACACCAGACTGAGAGCAGCTGAAGTGCTGTATAAGAACTCCCATGATTCTTTGAGACCTTGTGCCAAATCAGAGCTTGTTATTATTGCGGATTACGATTCCTCTGATTCTACGATGACTCAGAGATCCTTTCTATGAGTCTATTTGAAATTTGTGTCAATCGTAAATATTGTGATTTTTGTGTGAAAAACCAGAAAGGGAAGATTAAGGCAGTTTAATAAGGAAAATATCAGTCAATTTACAGTCTTATAACCTTGTGTGTACCTTTTTACTATACATTTTATTTTGCATTTCAGATTATTCTGATACATTCTATAGCATGTAAGGGTAAATAGTGGAAGCCTTGGCTTCATCAGCTGATGTATTTGCCCATTGTCTGTATACTCTTTAGAATTTAGTCTTGTGTCATCAAAACAGGAATGTAAAAACAGACCCTTTACTATTATTAACCATCTGTATTTCTGTCCACCTCCAGCCATCAGCCCACGGTGGTGCAGGAGGAGTAGGAGGCAGCTACCCTCCTAATGATTCCTGGAATCAACACAGACCTGAACACACTGCACTGTGGAGCCCTAACATGGAGGTACGCACACAACACATAAAACAAGCACCTGAATGCAGTCTAAGGTTGATGTGTAAAGCTGTATTTTCACTACAACTCTACTAGCTTTTGGTACCTTTACTTTCCCACCGTAGATAGTACTTTGGATAGTATCCTCTCAGCGTAGATGGAGCTGATTGTCGGAGCAACACTATTTAATTATTCACTGAAAAACTGTAACCAACACTGTACTTTTACTGCCAGATTGACGACTTCACTGCTCACCCCCTCCTCTTAGAGTCGAGCCCGACCGTGTGGTGGAAAAAGTAATATAACCTAATATAATGTAATATAAACTGGAACAGGTTTTCCTTAGCTGAGCCCGGAACAACCCAGGTCTCAACTTTCACATACATTTATGTAATTTACTTTTCATTTTGATTAAACATAGCCGGTGACATTATAGTAGTGACGTGCTGACACTTCAACCGTGTGATGAAGTTGTTTTTTCAACCAGACCGCAGTGCTCAGTGCAGGGGAATAAAGTAACTGCAGTCAGGAAAGTGTTTCAAATGGAAACTCGATCCCTACAATCATTTATTAAGTATTTAAAGATCATCGCACAGTTCAATCAATCACTTGTCAGCATATAAAGATGATTGAGGTGATCGTGTTGCTGTCCTGAACCTGTTAATCCCATTTCGAATTTTTTTGACAAAAGTCTAAATAAACAAGTTTTGAATTTAATTATTTTGTAAAAAATCAATTCACAGTCAAACACCCATCTTTTCTACAGGATAGTGGATGCGTAGGCCACGCTATGATGGAGGAGAGGCTGATGATGCAGCAACAACAGATGGAGGACGACCAGCGGTGGTTGGAGCAGGAGGAGAGCTTCATGGTAATGAACAAACAAAGAGATATCTCTATGTAAGCTACTTCAGTTTTTGTTTGTGGACTATGATCACCACTACTACTATGAGCAAAACATCACCTCTAGTAACAAAATGGACCCTTAAAGGGAAATTGGAGTGTTTTTCAACCATGTCATTCTGTCTCTGGGTCATCATTTTACACTCACCTCCTCCATTCTGGAAGTTGTGATTCTACAAATAACATTTTTAAGGGTTTTCCAAACAAATTTAAATTTTACAGAAATAGTTTTACATGCTTTGCTCGAAGTCCAACTGAGAGTAAACGGCACACAGTGTTGCAACCATGTATGCTAGAGAACCATTAGCAAACAAGAGAAGATGTATTTATGTCATTATCATCCAAGGGGATTAAAGAAAACTACGTGTCTGGTTAACTAATAGATTGTCAGAATGCAATGCTCATCTAAAAGCAGTTTTCTGTCATCATGGGTAAGATTGTGTTATTATGTACAATCTCTGCTGAAATATTAAAATGTAAAACCAAACACACAGCGCTACATTAAAACATAACCTAAAAAGGAAGGGAATCAAAAATATCTGTCTATCTAAACCACTGGATGCTGGTGTCGTAAACTGTAGTTGTCATGGCTGACCAGACGGATCAACAAAAAACAAAACAAATATTTAGATGTAAAAAATAAAATACTGCATTAGGTCTGCACTTTTTCCACTTAGTAAAACATCTCTGGTGTGTTTTGTTGCCGAATATCTTTTTCAGATCTTTGAGCTGGCTCACTTGTGTTTGATTTATCTCATCGGACACTGAAACATCCCCCGAAGGGAGCCAAATCGCTCCTTTTGCAAAACAAGTCTGTTTTTCTTCTCTCTTCGGGTCAGAGTGTTTCTCATCTTGCCTTGATGGGCTGTTTTCATTTTTGAGCCAGGTGTAGGAGAGAAAGACAGAAAGAGAGAGAAAAGCACAGATGAGTGATGTCCCCTCTCTTTATCTATCATTGTTCTTACTGCCAGCTTGACATATTTGAGAGGCACTTATCGTTTCACAGAGGAGGACGTCTCTCAGGACAAACATGGCAGACTGAATTGCTGATGTCTTATTTGTTATTTGGTAACCGCTGACATTTTTCCTGGCTTCTGTCGTCCCTTGATGCACCAGCTCTTTGCACCCACCTTCACAAACTTTTGCTAAGACTTTTCTTCAGGGCTGGGGACACAGAATAGCACTCATTGCTAAATGGCTCAACCACTTCCCCCAGCAGTTTTATGGCCCTGACCTTGCACCCTCGTGGAAATTTACAAATGAAAGGAAGCTTCCTTAGATGAATAAAATATGACGCCATTTGATGACTTCTTCCATCAGTAGAAACATTCCTGACACTCGATCCATTGCTGAGAGACTAATGTACAAACACTGCCCAGGGACTTTTTTCTGCCCATTCCCACTGATGCACAACCATTGTAAGACCACAAGTCAGTTCATGCAAACAAGAAAGTCAGTGTGGTGAGCTCAAAATCTGTTAATCTTGTTCTAATCTGATAATGATCAGTTATGACACTCAGTTGAGTTTAACCACAAAGACAAATTGAAATTTTTTAAGGCAGTGTGGTTTATGAAGTCTGTGTAGTTTTAGCCTACTGTGTCATCACTTGTTTGAAAGAATTTGTGTTGACTAAACCCTATCATTGTATTGTGCACTGACAACACTAGAAAGAGTTTGTAGCCTTTTTTCTTACTGTTAATTGTATAGTAGTATGGAGTATCAGCTAACCAAGAACTGACAATCTTCAGCTCCTTATTCATGCACAGAACACTTCACATGTAAATATCTTTATGGATCTGTAAAGCTTTTAGCAAGGTGATGGCCTAGAAACTACTTTCTTTCACTTAATTTTTCAAAAAAGAAACCATAAATATTGTATTTATCAAGTTACTTTTACTAAGAGCTTCAGGTTCAGGTTTTAAAACAATATTTTTCCGTGCTCTGTGTGCTGTGAATCATTTCTTATCATGGTCGTAAATGAGCCTTTTTACCTCATCGCAGGTAAACTGAGAAAATCTCCCAGACAGAAATATTTTTTTCACAAGTCATAAATCTGCTTTGTATTTTATTGTTTTGTCTTTGTCGTTGTTTTTTTGGAGGCTCAACATGAATGTGTTGCTGCATCTCTAATAACATTTAACAGATGCTTTTTATTGCAAAAACATAGACAGACGTTGTCTAGAAAGCACCAAATAGCAGTGAGCTGCTTTGATTGATCCACCAACGTCACTAGTGGACAGAGAGTACACATGCACAACACAGCGACCTGGCCCTATGCTGTGATTCTGAATTATTTACCCGCCAACGGACAGGTGACCCCAATTTATTTAGAAATGTATTTCCAAATTTGGTGGCATTTGGCGGCTTTTGTGGCTGTAGTTATTAGTAACTTTGACGAGATTTGTTATACAAAACATACAATAAACTAAAGATATTGTACATTAATATGGGTACAATATTATAAACTACACAACCTTATTACATAACAATGCATTGGCAATAATTATCTAAAGCTATATAATGATATAATACTGTGTCAGGACCAGTCTGCTGCTTAATGACTACTAGACTGAGCATGTGTACTTCAGTAAAATAATGAATTCAGGTCTTTCACTTGTAGTGTATTTGTACATTGAGATATTAACAGTTTACTGAAGCAGAAGATATCAGCACTACTTATACCACTATAGAGTACTGCCCAGTAGAAGTTCTACCAGTGAAATACGCAAGTAAACTTTGTGATAAACTAAAAGGAGTAGAATAAAAACGGAGAGCAGCAAGAGAGAGAAGGAAAGTAAGGCCTGAAAACAAAAAGATGGAAGTTTGTGAGGAGGAACGAGAGTGCAGGACAGAAAGAGGGAGAAAGGAAGTGGGATTGGCAAGAGCCATGAAGAGGGTGGAACGAACAAGGAGTCACCCATCACAGAGGGAGAAAAACAGAGGGAGATGCAGAGAGATGGAAAAAGTGGGCGGGAGAAACATACTGAGGGAGAGAAACAGAGAGGAGAGTGAGACGGTTGGATCTTTTCTCTCCAGGATTTTGTCTCTGTGGCTCAGTGGAGCTTTTCCTCCTCTGGAAAAACTTTTTCTCTTTCTCTATCTTCTCCTCCCCCTCCATTCTTCTCTGACTCAATTTTTCTGCCTTTCTCAGTCCATTTCTCTCCGTCTCTGCACCATCTTCCACCGACTTTGTTTCTTCTCTCTCCCGGTTTCCTTTATGCTTTTCTTTATCAGTCTTTCTCTCCATGTCTTAAGTTTTTTTTTAGCTCCCCTCTATCACACTTTCTGTCCCTATCTCCGCCCTTCTTTCGATGGCCTCCACTCTCTGCTTTCCTCCTCCCGTCTTCTTCAGCCTCTATTCTCCCAGGATGCATCTCTTCAAGGCGTGCTTCACCAAAACGGTACTGAAACAGAAAGAGAGAGGGAGTTTGGAGTCAGGCTTGGTTTTCGTGGTACAAATGTGGACAGAGTTTGTTTTTTACTGTTAACTGCTGTCATGAAGTCATCTGTGTGAACAGGATTGTGTTTATCTGCTGCTCTTCTTCATTCTTGATGATGATGATGATGTTCACTTCGTGAGGCAGTGTAGATGGAAAAGTGAAAAACTACTGCAGGTTGTAGTCGATGGAATTTAAATTCTGCATAACCTTTGCGGGTTAAGAGTGCATTTTTGTTTGTGTAGTGTTTAGTTAGGAAAAGATAACAATAGATGCTTTTCATAGATTTTTTCTTTCTGTAATTTGCAGATGTCTAATTGCTGATTGCATTTTCATATTTTGTGTTTGTGAATACCCCATGTACATGTACCCCTGTGTTACTTATTTAGTTTTGCTGTATTTTATCACTCAACCAAAACTACCTGGAACAACTTGTATATAGTTTTACAGTAATGGAAAAACTGCCACTTCCGTTAAATTCATCTTTCTGTCTCCTCCCTGCAGAAGACGGAGTCCAGAAACAGCAGAGGAAGCATTGACAGAGAGGACGGCACACTACAAGCACCGGTCAGTGTGTGTGTGTGCGTGTGTGCGTGTGTTGATGCTTACATTGATGCACTGATGGAAAGAAGAATGCTAAAGTAAAAGGAAGCAAAGGGTAAGGGAGGAGCAAATAAGCAGATTATAGCAAAGAGAAGAAAGATTAAAAAATGAAAGAGTGTAAGAGGGAGGCAGAAGGAAAGTATTCAGTCCGACAGACAGACAGACAGACAGACAGACAGACAGACAGACAGACGGACAGACGGACGGAGGCTGGGTGAAAGTATTTTTGTGTTTGTGCCAGGGAGGGTACTGCCTACACACCAACCACATGACCACAGAGGGCTCATGGGAACTTTAAACCCAGAAGCACTGCACAGTCCCATTTTACTGTAAATGTTGGTTTTGATATCCTAAAGCTAAGACAGCAGTACCTTTATCCACACTGCATCAGCTGTAACAGTAGCTGAGGAGTGACATTGCTGGTGGGGATTCCGATTTTCCTATTCTTCTTTTAATGATTATTTATTTATGTAAAGACTACTGAAAGTTTGCCTACCATTAACGTGGTGTGTGTGTGTGTGTGTGTGTGTGTGTGTGTGTGTGTGATTGTGTCTGCACAGGGTGGAAGCCAACATATCTACCAGCCTGTTGGGAAACCAGGTGAGACAACTAGCATACTGACACGCTTTAGAAAAAACACTGTATAAAGGTACTGATGAAAATAAATGTCTTAAATTGTATTTAAGTGAAACTACAGTACAGTACTCATTCTACAATTCCCCTTTTCAAAGATAGTAAGAGTAATATCATTTACTGTGGCTACTACATTATTATAATATTGGAGTAGCAGTAGTTTATACACTGTTGCATAATAAAATCTCATATTTCATAAAGATTTGTAAAGATTCACTCTGAAATGTAGTGGAGGAGAAGTTTAAAGTAGCATAAATGGGAAAAACTCAAGTATAAGTACCTCAAAATTAATTAATTAAATTAAATAAAGTATTGTACCTGAGTGAATGTACGTAGTCACACACTTTCCACCACTGCATGTCGGCATAAAGTACCTGTTAACATACTCCCTACTGGTGATACTAGCATTACTTAGCATGCTAGCATACCGATGATACTATCGCGTTTTTTTCAGAACATGTGGCTCCTCCTAAGAAACCGCCACGCCCCGGTGCTCCTGGTCACCTCGGCAACCTGGCAGGTCTCTGCCCCGTGGACAGCTACAACGAGGGTGTCAAGGTATACATATGCACACATACATATGGAAAAAGGAACACACCATATAGGGGCTAAAAGCAATTACACTCCTAAAAACACAGAATTTTTAAAATGTGGCTGATTTTAAAGATCATTTTTGTGAGAAATTCCTTCACTGTGCTCTTATTTTAGCCTCTTTCACTTACGGGAGTCCTGCAGTTCTGTATTTTATTGTGTTAATCTTGCACGTTTGGTTTGGACATTCCCTTTCTAGCATATAGTTTTTGAGTTGACTTCATTGATGGGTTGCATGCTGTGCTGCCTGTGGTTGGCTTTGGCCTAATGTGCTGTCCCTCTTCTCTCCCCCTTTACTCTTTCTCCCCCTCTGTCAATTAACATCCCACACGCATTCATTCTGTTTGATTCCCTTTAACACCCTGGGATCTTATTACTCCTTATCCTGCATTTCTCATCTGTCATTCTGCATCCATCCCTCCACCAATCAATCTGTCAAATCACCCCCCACCCATCCCCTTCAACCTCCTCCCTGTCAAACCCCTCCCCATCCGCACAACCACACCTCCCTTCCATCTTCTCAACCTCTCCATAGCCGTGGAGGGTAAGCTGATCTTTGTGTGTGTCCGTCATCATTGTAGAGTTACTTGTAGATAGTTACCGTTATAATCATGTACGAAGAATATTTTTCTCTACCAGAGACAAAACAAAATACCATTGGTTGACGTGTCCAACATCATCCTTTACCTCAGAGCTGTATGTCTGATAAAATAATCTCAGCTGGGGCTTTCAGATTCATCTCTCATCAGCAAAGATGATGAAGACTGTGAGATGTTGTTGAAAGCTCCAGAAACCTTGTAAATTGACCTTAAAATTGAGATTATTAATAAAATGTTATTTAAAGTAACACGTGACATGCTAATAAGCTAGCTTTGCAGTAGTCATAGCCAGAGAATATCCCTGGTAAAGAAAAATAAAAATAAAATGTAAAAGCCACCGTAGTGTTTCAATAGAAGCATTGTAAACTGATCACTGTATGTCATCCATCGCATCTCTACATGTTAAATATAGTCGTTGATGTAGTTGTAGGTTTGCTGTAGAAGAAACATCCTCCCAAAGTTGGTATTCATTTTAAGTGAAGAAGAGAAGCTGTGGGATAAACTCTTTTAATGCTAACTGTAGCTTAATGTGATTTTTTTTTTTTTTCATTTAAATCAAGCCCTCTACTGAGCTCTTTCTCATTAAAAGGGTGGCCTATAAATCACTTCAGCCATGCTTTAATTATGTCCCCAAATTAAATGGGTGCACCACACCATTTTAAAACAAAGTTTTGTGAACATTAATTAAACCTGCATTAAGGGATTTATGACCACTCGGGGCCAGAAAAAAGAAAAACAAACAGTAAACATTCAGCGAGCGTACAGAGCTTCAAAGTTTGGGACATTGGTTCGTGAGCAACGCTTTCACTTTACACTAAATCATTTGTATAAAAACTATTGCTTAATGCAGGTTGAACTTTGAGTCTGTCATTAGACAACTGAGAGAGAGAGAGAGAGAGAGAGAGAGAGAGAGAGAGAAAGAAAATGTAGTCCGATACTACCCCCTAGTGTTGTGTCTGTCTAACTACAGTCACCTATGTCCACCCTGGTAACAAAAAGGGCTTTTAAATGTAACAAATTGTAATAAAATTCATAAAATCAGTTAATTTAACACGCTCTTATTTTCAAAAGATTTACAAAAAAAAAAACTTTCTGTTCTACTGGTTCTTTGTAACTCATTGTACTTTTCATCGGTCCAGTTGCAGCCTCAGGAAATCAGCCCACCCCCCACCGCCAACTTGGATCGCTCTAACGACAAGGTGTATGAGAATGTGACAGGATTGGTCAAAGCTGTGATTGAGATGTCCAATAGGATTCAGCCTGCAGCCCCAGAGGAGTACGTCCCAATGGTCAAGGTAGGATCAACGTTCACTCTCTGAAGGAAGACGAGTGATCACAACCGTTACAGTGCTGCAGTAGACACGAGTTTAATATCCATCGTCATCAGGAGATTTAAAAAGCGTGTGTTAGAGACTGCGTTTGTGTGTGTGTGTGTGTTTGATAGGAGGTGGGTCTGGCACTGAGGACTCTGTTAGCGACAGTGGATGAGACACTTCCTGTGCTGCCAGCCAGCACACACAGAGAGGTAAACATACACACACTCACACACACACACACACACACACACACACACACACAATAAAAATTTATATGCTTTAAAAAACTCAACTTAAATATTTAGATATCTTTTCCATACTGACTCCTGCTCTCATATAATACACAAAATGCAGGTTTACCCACACGTCCTGGAACACCTGGAAATTTATAGACTAGTTTTTCCGTCATGGAAACACCTGGAAATTGATTAGAATAACCAAATATGCAAAACAATGTTTTGTTGGAGCATTTTAATTGTATATTAGCCTGTTCTGTGGCAAATTAATGTTATAGTTAGAGGAAAACAGGCAAAAACACAGAGTGTCCCATAAATGATGACATTTGTGAGCAGGTGCTTTCTTGTATTGTTAAGAAAAACTCAAAACAATTTCTTAAAAAGAGTGGGAACCCAGAAAATGTTATGTTCATCCCATTTGAGACACTACATGTTCCTTGGAGAAAAACACGCAAACTCCGCGTGACTTCCACTTTTCAAATATTGTTAAAAACGCTAAAACAACCTCTGAATTGTGGAGAGAAAAGGTGTGTGGGGACTAAAAAACGAGGGCACTGTATCTCACATATTGTCCACACTGAGAGTTTAAACACTTTTATATATGTGTTTAGGCGATCTGAGCCTACTCACTCCTGCGGGCCACCTGGTGGGTTTTAGGGGTTTTATATAAACACTGGTATTCTGGCTCATTAATTTTTGTCTTCTTTTGGAAACTTTTCGTGTGTGTGAGCTACATATTTTCTTTGTGCTATCACAGATTGAGATGGCTCAGAAGTTGCTGAATTCAGATCTGGCCGAGTTAATATCGAAGATGAAACTGGCCCAACAGTATGTCATGACAAGGTAGGTTCAAATCCCCCGGATATGTTTTATTATTTACCTTACGGCATTAAATTGAATGTATTTCTGATTCTGACGTAATTTGTTTTCTGTGTTGTGGACAGTTTACAAAAGGACTACAAGAAACACATGCTAATGGCAGCTCACGCCCTCGCCGTCGACGCCAAGAACCTCCTGGATGTCATCGACCAATCACGACTCAAGATGATCAGGATTTAATCAAGTCAGAGGAGGAGCGGTGAGCGGGCTGTTGCTGTGGAGACGGAGAGCGCAGTGACTCTCAGCCAATCGCAAAGAGCAGAGAACATTTGGATGGAAAATGAACTGATGGACAGCAGATGTTACTGACAAACAATCAGCTCCTTCTTCTTCTCCCGCATTAAAAAAAATGCATCGTTTTCCTTTTTCTTCTCCGGCGACTGACACGTTTTGGTCAATATTGTGTTTTGTACCTTTTTGTTGCATTATTTGCTTTTTGTATCCAGAGAAACGCTCTCTTTCTCCCCACCCCCTTCAATCACGTATCCTCAATGATGAGTTTTTAAAAAAAAGAAATCATCCATTACTACTTTTTAATCTTTAGGTGAATCAAACAAAGGTTTCAGAGGCTCGCTTTGAAGGACTGCAGAGAGATTCTCGGTGAACGGACGCACCGAAATCCGCCACATGAACATGACTTAACGCTCTCCACGTATGCAGGATGTAACAACTGGAACTGAAGAGCCAGGATGAGGAAAATGATATGATGATGATGTTGTTTAAACATGCTTTTATATCATTATTAATTATTGTTGTTATTATTGCTATTTTCAGCCTTGACTCTTACAGTATGTCTCTCAAAAACTTATTGATTTACAGCTCCTCATATTTTTATCTGTTTTTTCTCATCTTCTCTCTAGATCTCTTTATCTCAGGCATCAAAGAGATGGCATAAAAAAAAGATTTTTGAAGAACAAAGTAAATGTCACAGGCCACTTTTTTTTTAAGTTAACTTAGATAGTAAATATACAAAGAAGCTATATTTTTAACACGTTTCTGAGGCATGAGTTGTTAGTGAATAAGGGAAGGGGACAACGGGGGAGGGGGAGTGAAGGGAGGGAGGTCTTTGAGTTACAGTGGAGGTGCTAAACCTGTGCCAAATGAACTGCAATTGAAAAAAAAAAAATGAACATTTCACCCAAAATGCTCTGATATTGGCTCACGCAATAATCCAACAACATTTTTTTTTAGCAGCAGTCGTTTTTCCATTCTTTTCTTCAAAACTGTAAAAAAAAAAAAACTTTTATTTCTTGCTTTGTATATTGAAGCCAAATTTTGTTGTTGCATCGGTCGTGTTGTCGGTTCCTTCTATCTTATTTATCTTCACGTTAATGTTCACTCAACAAGATGCAGTGCAGGCTTTCAGTTAGAGACCCACCTCCACATTTCTGTCAGATTTCCTTCAGTTTAGTCGATCCAGGAATCGGATCTTCAGGGACACTTTTTCAATAAATTCTGGTTCATATTCAGAGTAAAATATGATACATCGATAATAGTCTGTTAGTCTTTATTAGGGGGTGAATTACAGTTTCATTTACAACTAACTGGACTGAAAGTTAATTAACCTACTGGACTTTTATAAACCTACAGTAGGCCTTGTTCATATTTGCCCTCTATCTATCCTCCAGCAGTCCTCCTGTTTTCTTTCCCCGTCTTTCTACCTCCCTCCACTGGAGTTATTTATACCTTTTTTTTATTCCCTCTCTTCTGCCACCTTCGTTACCATCCCTCCCCTTAGCTTCGTCTTCCTCTCCTCCCTCTCTGATTCTCTCTCCATTCCACTGTTCCCTCTCCCCTGAGGTGAGTGGTATTCTCAGGAAGGAGTCACATGTACAGTTGCTAAACCAAGCAAATAAAACACTGTTATCGTTAAGAAATAATTTGCGAGTCTGTTTCTTTAAGTGTGTCTGTGCCTATAATCTTATTCTCTCCTTTGGATGTGTGTGTTAGAAGGTGTCATATCTGTTTAATCACTTTCCATTAGATTTGTGTGCTTAGAGAAGAGACAAATAATTTCTCTCTCTATAGTTTTCAGTGACCAGTGAAATGATTTAAATGCAGGACATTATTTAGATTTAGATTTGGGATGCTTAAATTGTATTTATTAATACAGACTGAAACATAGTTGCACATTTTTGGATCGTTGTAATCATAATGTCCTATGCAACCTCTTTATGGAGCTTTCAACTTCTACAACTGGGCAAACCTGCAAGTGAGGAGATAAGAAAAGCTGTTGCAAAGCATCATAAATAGGCTAATGTCACACAATTAGACACGCCTGGCAGTGGTATTCTGCTAACTGTATCTTCTGAGCTTTCTGTTTCACATTTGTCACCTGTATTTGAGCCACTATTGCTAATGTGTAGTTATAAACATGAGCATAAGGAGCACCGCGTGAGAACAGGTGAATTGTGAGCGTTTTGCTTGGATTAATCATTGAACATATGAAGCAGAGTTGGGAACCTGTTAGGTGGAATTCGCCAACGGCGTATAGAGTACTTCTTTCTCTGACCTTTAGTTTTGACAGTAAGAAATTAAAAATGTGTTTCCGCCCGGTTTCGAACCGGGGACCTTTCGCGTGTGAGGCGAACGTGATAACCACTACACTACGGAAACTTGTGCTTGAAGTACGCCGCCGGAAACAATCTTGAAATTACAATTAATACAGAACCCGTGTGTTTTAATATTGATATATATTAGACGGCATCCTATAAGTTATTTATTATATATTTGTGGATCATGAAAATATTGGCATCAATGTTAGCCTCCAGGAGCTAACACATAAAAACAGTTACTACAGCATGTGTTATTGTAGGGCTAATATCTAACAGTGTGTTCGCACTTTGTAAGACTTTGGAATCACTTTTTAAATCCACAGGTTTCCTATAAAACCCACCGTCCCGAGAAAAGCGTTTCAATATGTTTAATGTTGTGTCATTCTCTCTATACCCCCCCAACCAAGCACATGCTCCTTTAATGGGGATACTGGTTGCCTTTACTACAGTCTACACACTCTCAAACCTCCCCCCGTTTATAAAAGACTCATCTATCTCTTTAAACTTACTTGTGTGGCTGTTTTTATTGTGTTGTACAGAGGGGTGGACTACATCAGTTACTTGTTTGAATCCTATTTATGTAACATATACATATCCATTTCTTTCCATATTGTAAATATCATTAGATATCAATAAATAAACATCTTATATCTTATTTATCTTATTATGTTAACATATATACTGTTAACTTGCAGATTCCCTGGTCAATTTTTTGCACATTCCTGTACAGCTCTTTACTCATTTATATAAGTTTCCAACAATATTGTACATATTCTCTTTTCATATTTACATATAATGGCTCTTTTGTCTCTACTTTTATCTTTATATTTTTCTGTTTAATTGTTATGCACCAACTTATCAAGGCAAATTCAATGTATATGAAAAGCTACTTGGCAAAAAACCTGATTTATGATTTCATTCATGACAAAATGTAAGAAACCAACTATGTCCCACTGCATATTCAAACCCACAAAAATTACACTTTACACTAAGATTCAAGGACTTTGTTATAAAATGCTGACACTATATTTCTTACTGCATATAATGTATTTTCATTATGGTCTTTGTATTTTCTATAATATCCCCATGTGCTGCTGGGTCAACTCAAATTCCTCCCATGAGGGATCAATGAAGGAACATCTTATCCCATCTAGTGTATGTTCCTGTTCTTCAACAGGTGATGTTTCACCCTTCTCATTTCTGTTTATGTTATCGATTCGTCTCCTTTTCATAAATTGGTGAATTAAACACACTCATAACACTTAATATACTTGTCTCTTATTTGTTTTAGGGCCATTACCATAGTAACTACCTGTATCAAGGGGGAATGTCATTAAGAGATGCAGTTAGTGCCTCACCAGGCGCTACACAAACTGGGCACAAAGTTTGACCTTGAATAACTAAGCGCTCCCACCATTGTTTGTATGCGCCTCTATTTTAAAAGTCATGGGTGCTACAAACATTTAACTTCCACAAAGGATACACCTGTCGATCCTCACACACGCAGATGCTCGTTAGGAATTGAGATGTCTTTTAAGGTGGAGCACTGAGTTTGATTTAGGTCACAGAGGAGAGAGAAGACACAAATGAGTAAGATGATAGAAGGCCATATATATCACAGGAAAGAACCAAGTCACAGAAAGCAGCACTCATTTTTGTAGTTTTATTGTGTTTTCTTAAAAAACAACTGTTTTAGTCGAAGAGACCGAAGCCCATGTCATCATCAGACTCCTCAGATTCTTCCTTCTTCTCTTCCTTCTTCTCCTCCTCCTTGGCTGTAGGTGTAAACAAGACATAGTAGGGTTAAAGTTGAAACATGCAGGGTTCACAAACCAGCTCTGACATTTCACAGATTTCTGACAATTCTAAAACACATGCCCCCAGAAGATCAGTGGTAGCGGCTCAATTATGGGGAGGTCACATATCACAATACCCCATCAGTTATTAAACTGTTCAGAAGTCTGCACCCCAAAAGCAGACCAGGTGCTTGTTTTCAAGGCTCTATCCTGCCCGAGGAACTCTGGTCGACCACATCTTCTAGCTGTAATGTGTATTTAAATCAAACTATATGAGCCTGGCTCAGTGGAGTCTTTTAGAGGTAGAGCAAGGGACTAATTAAACAAGTCACATTATTAAGTATATCCTATTTTAGTGTTGCAGTAGCACAAACACCAATTAAAGCATCTAGCATTTGACTTATAATGCCAATCTGTCCAGTTACCTGGGGCGTCTCCAGCAGCAGCGGCGGCGGCAGCAGCTGGGGCTCCAGCTGGAGCTCCACCTCCGGCTCCAACGTTGCAGATCAGGCTGCCGATGTCAACGCTTGTAAGAGCCTACGAAAATAACAACATTCACAGGTCAAAATCCCTTTGTTCACATGTCCAGGACCTGTACTTCCATCACTAAAGATATAACACTATTGATCTCATGTAGAGGAAGCTCTGATATTAGTTTGTGTTGATAACTTGAACAAACCCTTGTACACTCCTGAAATACATAGAAACCTTAAGTCACAACCTCTACACTGACCCTTTGCAAACTCTTGATTCAGAATGTTTTCACTGTGAAATCTAACTCTTGTGTTTGCTCACTTCACACTAATTATCTCAGACATGAAGATCCAGATATAAGGCCAACATAAATGTAGTTGTACACGACTACAAAAGGAAGCTACAGAGTCCGAGGTACTCTTATTTCAGAACTGCTGTGGATGGCACTGGAGAGTTTAGGAGACGCCACTCCTTCCTGGTGGTTTAAACCCTGCAGGTGTACCACATATTAACAAGAGCGTCTCCACGTTGTCATGGCACCACAGAAGTTTAAGTAGTGTGTGTTGCTCTCTCACCTTGGCAAACAGACTTGGCCAGAAGGGCTCCACGGTGACTCCGGCAGCCTTGATCAGAGCATTCAGCTTATCCTCCTACAGACACAGAAAACATTGTAATTGTTACACATTGTTCACTTCATTCATCTTTAAATGACTAAATAAATTATTAGTGCACAAAATAAAACTATCACAAGTTAGGAGCAAAGTCTTGTTTAAGTTTCACATCCTTATAATTCCACGTTATCTCATATATGGGATTTGTGCTTGTTTAAGGAAAGGGAGGCCTAATCAATCATTTAAATCATAAACAATTATGAATGTCTCATAAATTGCTTTGCGTGTTTATTACCATCATACTAAGCTTATTACATTATCTCACATACTTATATTGAGATTTACGCAAGTTCGCAAATCTTTATATACATCCTGTAAAACCTTTGCAAAAAATACTAATAAATATAGTGACTGGAGTCCTTCAGAAATCTTAGTTTTCATATTTTCCAATTTAGAAGTCCTTACCAATAACATGTTTGTAAGAATTACAAAGTTTTAGCCACGGAAAGTATAAATAACCATTTAGAAACCTTAGAAACTAAAGCATGTGTATTTTTCAGCTCATATTGAGGCTGTGCTGCATCCACGTGTATCACCTGTCAGGATAACGTCAGACAGCTACCTGGAGCGTCTTTATGAATGAAACCAAGCAGCCATACACTACAAGGTGGTAATAAACCGATAACTACCCCGGCGTTTCTCTGTGCTACCTCCTCTTAGTAAAAAACCATGGTGGGCTGTTAGTGGAGAATAGCTTAGCATGAGCTACCGCCTGTCACTGAGGGACTGACATCTCCAGAACTTCAACTGAGAAGTTCAGATGTTTAAGTCGTGTGGTTCAACAACTAGAGCCACATGCTGTAGATATAACTCACGTCGCCACACAGACAAGAGTTGTCCTGATGCAGAAACGTGGCCTTACCGTTAGCTAGCAACAAGCATGCCGCCATTTTTAACCATAAGATTGGACACTATGCCTAAACGTATTTTAACAGACATATTATCGTCCCAGTTAGTCGATAAGAGTCGCTACTGACCGCAGCTTTATTATTTAAGGCTTTTATCCCCCGCACTATAGCACCGAGGGTCTGGCTGAGCGGCGCTGTATAAGCCGGTACACTTACGGTGACGGTGACTTCATCGTCGTGGAGGATGAGAGCAGAGTAAATGCAGGCGAGCTCGGACACGGAGGCCATTGTGGATGTTAGATTTTATATTTGTAGCGTTGGATGCCTAAATTTGATGGTGCTAGTCGCCGGATTGAGGGCCTTAGCTTCTGGTGAAGAACCAAGCACCTTAGGCACGTTTACTTCCTACAGCGGAAAAGGGAAGGGGGAGGGCGGGAGCTTGCATGATATACTCTACGTGAGGGCTGCGTGACTCTGACGTCGATACGCACACAAAGTGACGGCAGACGTCAACGGATTTGAAGAAGGGTCGCTTGACAATGTGGAGAGCTCCTGCTAGTTTCCCTTTGAAGAAGTTTGAAAATGAATAGATTTTTCTGCTTAATTGAATCAAATTGCACAAAACAAAAGCCTGTTCACGCAAAACCTTAATTTTGTATTCATCTTTACATTATTGTCTTTAAATTTTTCCTATATCTTTTATTTATGTGCAAGTTTACATCATTCACGATGAGTTTTAAGTTGAATACGAGTTAGTACGTACCAAAGAATATCTGAATATGCGCATAATTTGATGCACTTGTGCTATATGCATGCTCACTCTAAGGAATTATACACAATATGTACAGAAAAATGTCCAAAGGTTTTAAATCCACTGCAAATAATATTTTCAGTCAGTCAATTTTATTTCATCTCAATCAAAAACACAAAGATTACAGTAAGTAAAACATTTCAAGGAAAATATTATGGCAAATCTCTCCTGGCTGCATTTACACAGGAACAGAAAGCCTGTGCTGTACACAGACCTAATATGTCCTGATATTTGAAAATGGAGTAGGGTGATCCCAAGTAGTCTTTCTATTTAAACAAACAAAAAAAAAACATCATAACATCAGAACTACGGAAAAAACAAATGTGACTGAAAGTCTAGATGTAGTAATACTTTCCTCAAGTCTTACCATTTACTGTTTCACCCACAATGTCAGTGTGTATTTAAAAACATCAGATGGACCCTTTATCTTGAACATACAAAGCTCAGAAACAGTTTTAGGAATCATTCTCACATTTGGCACTAACATATCTTCTTGGCCCTGATATTTAAAAAAATACTTGAGCAGGTAAAACTACAAACCTAGAGTGGATGGAAAGGACAGTATGGCTTTCAGTGGCACCTTCCTGTGTTACAGTGTAATAAAAGTCATCATTTAGCAAGTGGACAGAGCAGGAGACGCTTCAACTCTACAAATTCTGGAACTTTCAAGCTTAATATTCTAGAATGTTCAGGCAGTTTAGCCCCATCTCCATGGCAACAAATAAGAATGATCTACCTGCTTCTACTGTAGCTGAACATTTTGGAATGTTCAGGTAATTCATACTCTTCACCACGGCAACAAGTTGGAATCTTCTACTGTGCTTCTATTACAGCCATATGCAGATTTGAAATTTTTTGACAAATGTATTGTTACTTTTTAGGTGACTTTTTCTCTGACTACTGTCTCAATAATTTTTAAGTATATATATATATATATATATATATTTATGTTTGTCTCAGGGTTAACATGTGTTATCTTTGTCGGCATTACCTTTTAAGAGGCAAATTGTCAACAGCATTTTCAGTGAGCAATATTTAAACTCCATTAGCATAATTTCATATAATTTTTACAAAAGCACTCACATTTTGCATCAGCAATATTTAACTGAACTAACAATACATCCACTCTTTGTCCACGTTTCAGTACTGCCCACCTTTGCCTAATGCAGCTTTCATGTTATAGCAGAATTACCGTAATTACGTCCACTTGTTTCCAACTTGTAAATCATTTCAAAATCCAAGCTATAACTATGACTTGGAAACTCAGATTTTTTGTAAAGCTCTGATGTATCAGGCTTGGCGCTTACGGAATAATAATATGGAAAAAACATATATTTAGATATGGGTTCCTCAAAGCAGTCTAAACCAGCGTGTTTTCTCAAAATGTACAGTCGTGTCAGTTAATTGGAATTTGTAAACATCAAAATGTTTCAAATTAGAACAATCCCTTTTGGACATTGCAATATTTACAGTGGTTCTTCAGTTAAAAATGGGAGTCTAACCCAATGTAATAAATCATAATTTTCTCTTGCAGCTCAGCACAACCAAGTCAGTATTTGCAGACACCCAAAGCTGAAAACAACAAAAAATAAGAACAGGACGGAGATGTTCCAATAGACATGGAATGTGACTGGTTTCATGGATTTGACATGAATTTATAGCTGAGAAGGCTTGTAGTTAACACCAATATATGCTATAGAAGAATTACTATAGTCATCATCAGTGTACTCTTTCATACCAGAGATGAGCAGTGCCTGTACCTGTGGTAGACATGGTCATAGTCGCGAGCAGGGTGCTGGCCATTCACACCAATCTGAAACACATTTTCTCCAGGTCGTCAGTTTCAAATGGAAGAGTTTTATCTAACTGGTCTAACCTTTCCCGTCACACACCGCAAAACAAAACAAAAAACCTCTCCAGACTGCAAAAGGCAGATAAGCAGATGTTGACCTTTCAACACTTTGCACTATGGGATGGGATGGAAAACTAAAAAACCACAAGGATGTTGATGCGCCTGGTCCATTTACAACTAACTGACCAGAAACAGAAAAATATTTTTCCAGGTGCCTCTGGACCATTAAACCAGCTCAGCTGATACCAAATGAGATCAGTGGATACCAGTGGACCGAAGACTAAACCCGCAGATACAAGATCATGGAAGCCAATAACCCGTCTTTCCTCTCTAGTCCTTGTGGGACTTTCCTTTGGGTTCTTCGTCATAAGAAACTCCATATTCATTTACTCTTGTTTTGTCCACTGGGTAGAGCCTGGGGAAGGGGAGAGAGAGTTTCAGGTTAGGAAACTGTTGGGTATATTTTGTTGGTGACTTAGGAATGTGTGTGTGTGTGTGTGTGTGTGTGTGTGTGTGTGTGTGTGTGTGTGCTGTGTGTGTGTCTGTGTGTGTGTCTGTGTGTGTGTCTGTGTGTGTGTCTGTGTGTGTGTCTGTGTGTACCATCTCTGGTAGAGGTAAATGAGAAACACCACATCATCTCTGAAACAGGCCAGTCTGTGGGACGTTGGCATCGTGATGATGAAGGCAAACACATCGTCGATAAAGGTATTGAAAGCCTGGTAACAAACAATCAAACAATCAATCAATCAATCATTTTTAAATTCTTTATCACTAAAACATTTTCAGTGTCAGTGACTTCAATTAAATCATTTATTTAACATATACAATAAATAACAGCTGAAAAATGGTTGTCATATCATATAATTCAGTAGCTTTGTTCTCACCTTGTACATAAAGGCTTTCCAGGGCAGGTGGGCCACAGATTTCAGCTGTTGAATTAAACATAATAAGTCAATGCAATTTTTGAAAGACAACTTCAGTAAATCAAATTAAATGCAATTTATGTTTGACCACTTTTAGGCAATATCTGTACAATTTCATGTTTTAGCGAGCACACTTCCAGAAGATCTGAAACAGTTCAAGGTTCCCTGTGGAGTTTTTGACCTCCAGTAGCTCTATGGAGATTTTCTTCTCTCAAAAATAATTAATTCTGATATGGTTAATGTATTTTATCCATTATTACATTTTAGAAAAAGTAAGACCAGGCTCACACACCCACATTGACCATGATGAACTGACCTTATAGTTGACAAACAGTTGAGGAAGCATGAAGAGGAAGCCAAAGGCATATACACCTAGAATGGTAAAGAACATGTTGAAAAGCTTTTTCTTTTTTCGATCAAATAATGGATATCAGTGGCAAAAGGAGGTAATCAATTAGCAATTTTAATATAGTTAATAATGAAATGGCAAAGTACGTTTTATATATAACATTTAAAAAAAAGCTTACCATTAACCAAACTGTTGATCAACCACGAGTACCAACTAAAACAGGGACAAAGAAATAAAGAGAGATAATCATGTAACCAATGACATCACATTATAAGGAAATCCTGTAATTAAAATGTTGCATGTTATGTATACACACACATAGAGACCCTTACCTCTTATATCGCAGGAATATTAGAGCGTACACAGCCCCTCCGATACACAATGGGTAAAGGAGGAATGAGAGGTACTTCATGGCCTACAGAGAAACACAATGCACAGAATTTGGTTACATCCAATGACAACATAAGCTCTACTGTCCAGTAACAAAAAAAGATTTACCCGATTCTAATTCACACATTAAAATTTTATGATTATTTATAAAATATCTCTAAAGGATAAGATTGTTTTTATGCGTGTTTTGGCTGAACAAGTCCTTTAAATAATACAGTATTTACAATAATGCTGTCCTGGATGTTTTTAGCTTGAGTGAAAATCTCCAATAATAAAGTGATAATGATTACATGTTTGCACAAATTGATGTTTCACTCATGCTTATGTTGAAAGTATGGTTTATTATCTATGCATGTGTGAGTCCACTTACCAGTGTATCGTACTCTTCTGTTCTCCTCTCTGATTCATCTAATTGCCCAAACTGTTCCACAGAAAAGAAAAACACACACACCAATTAAATTTATAACAAGGCCAATCATGTTATCTAGTACTATCTAGCTCCAGTACGTGCTCTGTGCTTTCAGTTTAAACCCACAGTAATTTAGAAGAGAGCTCTATTAGAGCAGCAGGCAAGGTGAATGAATAAAATCTACTCAAAGTAAGCTGTCTACAGGAGTTAGAGAGAGTAGTACTGACGGCCCACATATCAATCCATTTACCACTGATAAATAGTGTAGAGAAGCCTAGATGCGCAATATCTGATTTGTACTGAGCTGTAAAAATAAATGACAGACGACAAAAGATAAACCAGTTATATACACACACACACACACACACACACACACACACACACACACACACACACACACACACACACACACACACACACACACACACACACACACACACACACACACACACACACACCACACCTACCAGGAATGTTGGTTTGCCTCCTTTCCAGAAAACCTGAATCTTAAAGGCCTTCTTCACTTTCCATACCTGCAGCAAAAACATTTCAAAAGCAGAATATCATGCATTAATCTACAACAATCATACACTTATTTCCTATAAATTCCACTTCACATCAAAAGAACGATGCTAAGCTGGAGAGGTGGAGAGGGGTGTGTCACTGCCATTAATTGAGGCTTGGAGCTAACAGTATTTTGCTATATTTGACAAATCATTTTCAGGTGTCAGACCCTGTCACTGGTGGGACATCGTCTCAGCACACAGGGAACTGTCGAGCTGAAACCTGAGAGCAAAATACTAATACTAATAATATTTTTATTATTCTATTATTTCTAACAGCCACAAAAAATTTAATAATATCCAAGATTTCAATGTAACAATACATGATTATATGTAATGTATGAGTTGAATCTATCAAATATTGATTGACATTATTAAATACATGTCATTACATACATTTCAAGCAGAAAAAGTCACATTCATTTTGTACTAAATATAAGTTATCTTTTCAGAGACATCACATATGCTTTTGTTTTGGGTAATGTAGTGTAATTCATGTACACTGTGTGTATTTAAATGTATTTTAAGTGCATCTGTGTCTCCAATCTGTGCGGACTTACTTCAATGATCGAGCCGATGCCAGCAGGTATGAGGACAAGCAGGCTGGTCTGCTCGTCAAACAAGTAGAGGAAAATCACTATGGTGCTGAAACATCGCCAGAGCACTGGAAAACAAAACACACAAATACATAAAATGTTATTCTGTGACAGCTGGTGATGTATTTTCCATGATTGCATTTGCAGGGTTATACTCATATTCTGTCCACTCGAATGTTATTGTATTATCTAGTGTAAAAATCCATAAATAAGTTGTCTCATAGTGGATATACATAGTTCCAGTGCAGAAGAAAGGTCTGGCCAAACAATCAGAAAACCATTCAGAATCACACCTTTTGCTTATACTGCGGTGGGCGACATATTGCTCAACAGCATCCCTTACTCTGTCGCCATTTCTGTTGCTGAGCAGCAGGAAGCAGAATTCAACATCTGGCTACCCAGCAGTCCAAACTCACCAAGTGAGATTATACTCATTATACAGCTGATGCCTGTGGACTCACTCGTTTTACACATTCTTCTAAGGGACTAGTTAGAGTTACTTTGCATACTGTACTCTAACGCTCTGTTAAAATCAGTCACAACAAATTTATAGTGTGCAGCTAAATCTCCAGACTTTTCCAACTCTGCCCTCTGCTTTGCATTTGTTTCCTGTCCAATGTGGTCTTTTTCACTGCTCAAAGGGTGTTTTGGCAGGTCAGTGAGAACAAAGTTACCAACCTGCTTTGCTGGACATTCCCACCATGCTTTTTTTCTGCTTCCAGAAGCTGATGTCGTTCTTGAACGCCAGGAAGTCAAAGAGCAGCTAAAAAAGCAAGAGACAGGACATAATATTTTTTTGTCTAGCTACAGTTCATTGTTAACAGTTCGTAATCAGCACACCTCAGAGCTCCTTACTCTTTCCTTTATTTTTGAGGTGTTAAGACTTGGTGGTGAGTGGGTATAAGCTTGTTTTTTTTTACAAACACATTAGCTAAAGCATACAGTACGTAGACTGATTGTTTTGAAGATTATATCATATTTGGTGGTCATAGAATTTATGGATTATAGGAACGTTTATCGTTTGGCCTGGTCATGCTGATTTTATTTGCTTGTTGGAAAGTTCCACCTCAAGAAAACCCAAGCCCTGCTGCATCTGAACTTTTTACAATGTTCTGAGATGCCCTTTTGAGAATTTTTCTAATAAAGTTTGCTTCATTCATTTCATACTTGTGTGCATGTTTTTTGTGCCCATGACCTGTAAGACCTGCAGTAAGCACGTAGACTAGACAGATTTTTTTATTATGTCATTATAGTACAGCTTTTGTGCTGCATTCTTTCTTCACCAAAAAACCGATAAAGATTTTTTTACCCAATCTCAGAAATACAAAAATGTCATTGTACCATGGCCTGTTTGATCAATGTTTGCAAATAGCAACACAGAGGTGGTATCTTTTATAGATGGATATGGACTGATTGCTAATTGAAAGGTTGTGTTTCACACAGGTGCACTATAGATTCATAATTACGACTTACATGGAAGGCAGCCACAAAGAAGGTCAGAGCCAGGAAGTACAGGTTAGTATCCACAAAGATTCCTTTAATCTCATCAGCATCCTTTTCTGTGAAACCTGCATCACATACAGGGAGACACAGAGAAATGTACATGGTATTAGAGTGAGGCTTGTAGACATTGTGTGTGTGTGTGTGTGTGTGTGTGTGTGTGTGTGTGTGTGTGTGTGTGTGTGTGTGTGTGTGTGTGTGATTAACATACCAAACTGCTGCAGAGAGAAAACAGCATCTTGCATGTGGATCCAGAATCGTAGCCTTCCCAGAGAGATAGAATCGTAGGAGATGGTCAGAGGGAGCTCAATGGAGGTACTGTTGATCTCCTACAAACACACACACAGATTATTTCACACAATCAGCTTCTGATACTGATGTTCTGTTCTCATAGTCTTTAAAGCTTATATGTGAAACGAATGACAGAGCAACATAATCTTATCTTATAGAGTCATTATTTTTAGATGTGTAATGACCTCCAAACATCTGTAAACTATTATCTTCTACTTTACTTTTTGTTTGTAATTCACCCCTTCTCTGTAATATTCAGGTGAGACAGTCTTTGAGCTTTCTATTATTCTGAGACAGAAAGCAATTATTGGCTGTGGTCACTGAAATCAAATCAACAAGGATCTTGATTCACTGGGTTACAGACTCTAAACAAGTTCAGTAAGAAAATGAATAACAGGGGAAAAAAGTGCATTTTAAAATCTGCTGATAGTAAATTACAGTGTATTATATAATATTTATAAAAGCTTACCACAAGGTCCTTGACCCGGTTGCTGAGCTCATCAACAAACAGCAGAGGTAGATAAACCATCTTCTTACCATTTTGGAATCTGAAACACAGAAAAACAAAACATCCCATGATGCCACTGGAGCCTAATTAAAAGCTTTGTTAATAATTTTATGACAAAGATCAGTATCACATTATCTACAAATACAAGTATCCAAACCATACCCACACAGAGTGTTGTATATGTGTGTGTGTGTGTGTGTGTGTGTGTGTGTGTGTGTATATGTGTGTGTGTTTCTGCAGCTATTATCTTACACTCTGAGGTATCTGTGGACATCACTAGGAAGGTATTCTCTGTCAAACATGAAGTGGTCACTGACAATGTTCAGCGTCAGGCGGGAGCGCCAGTGGGAAGCTGGGTGAACTGACGAAGAGGTGGGTCCATCTCCAGCTCCACCCCCTGCTGTGGGGTTGCCATCACCCTGTTTCTTCTTCTGGGCTTCTTCTTTCTGAAATCACATAGACAGAAACTTAACTTAACTTTCAAATCAAATGCCCCTGATCAATAACTAAACTCTTCTGGATCTACAGGACTCTTATATCAAGACTACACGTCCTACAGTTAAGCTTACTGGGAAGTTACATATATTAATAATATTAAGAATAAAAACAAAATAACAAATAATAAAAAACGTATAATAAAATAAAAAATAATAAAAAGTATTTTAAGCAGTTTTTTTCCATGTGAGGTGTTTAATACATTAAAGTAGCTTAAGTGTCTCCCCATGCCCTTAAACACCCACATCTTTATTCAGATAACATCATCAACTTTCACTTTCAGCCGGAGCTTTGGAACAACTCAGTACCTTTGTTTGATCCTCTCCGGATATCAAAGAGATCTCAGGCGGTTTAGGGACCATGTAGGTGGTGAGCTGAGCCACCAAGTGGACCTGGCGTGGATCCTGCCATGGAGTGACGCCGGCTTGATGGACAAATATTAGTGCATATAATGTTCCATTGTTACGGGTCTTCTTAGGGAGGGAGACATTCACTATCCTGGAGGGAAAAGGAGAGAAAGAGGGAAGTGGATGAAAGAAAGAAATGTGTTTTTGGTATGGATATACTGTAGATCAGAAAATGGCTGGCACTGGTTTCCTTGGAAATTCCTTTAATAAGTGTTATGGGTTAAAATATCAAAATGCAAATTTGTTTAAACCTCTGTAGTTCTTCATTAACAGGTCCTTGTTATAAATAAACTATGACTAAACTGAAGCACATTCAACATCTGTTTCAGTTCTTAGCTAGATTGATATCCATTCATCTGAATAACGCATTAATGCATTAATGCATTGGGGTTCATTAAAGTACAGTGTCCATCAGCTCGTTAACAGCTTTGAATTTGACGTGTCCAATCAAATCTGAGGACGGAGACAATTCATTTCCAAGGCTCATTATAATTAATTGTGGATAAAGTGTAAAATCTAAAAAGAGACTAAAAAGTGAGAGTCCAACCGACCTCTCAAACTTGCTGTCGACATCAAATTCGTCCTCTTTGTGGATCAGGGTATGTCCTCCCTCTGCATTGGGCCGCAGTGCAGTGTAGATACTCAACTGGATGCACACAGAGAGATATTACAAACATTATTACATGTAAACATTATACTAGACAGAGAGTTAAACAGAAAACAAACTGAACAGTGATCCCCTCCGCATTACCGACCTGTAATTTCGGGTTCCCAGCCAGGAAGGGCGTGATACAGTTGTCACCTTTGGGGTGGTCGCAGGGTTTAGTGTACACTATCCCGTACATCACCCAGCAGGTGTGGAGCACGTACACCACAAACACCCCCACGATCAGCGTGGTGAACGAGGTTTTCAGAAACATGATGCTAGCGTCGTCTTGTCACGTCGTGTGTCTCTCTCTCTCTCTCTCTCTCTCTCTCTCTCTCTCTCTCTCTCTCTCTCTCTCTCGGCTAGCTGAGGATCCGGGCCATATGTCTGCAAATGAGGAGTCATAGGTTAAAAAAAAGGTCAGTGTACAGTGTCCTAATTATCCTGGGGGAGGAATAATAAAAGTCCAAATCAATGCTGATTGTATATTTTTTTTATATTTCACAGTTAAAAGATCTCATTCAAAAACCATGGGCATCAATTTGAGACTGTAAGTCAGTCACAAAAGCCTTTAGAGGCTGAGCACTCATGTTGGACAATAAGGCCTGGCTTGCAGTTGGTGTTCAATAATTAAAGTTGTTGATGGACTTGAGGTCAGATCTCTCAAGTTCACTCCAAAACAAACATTTCTGCATGTTGCCATTGTCCCGTTGAAACAGGAAAGGGCCCCGGTCCACATACCTTTCGCCATGCAGCGTTTCTCTAAAAATGTTTGACAACAATGCTTCTGTTCATGAAAACAAGTCTTCTCCCCTTTTAGTGTCAAAGCCACAACAACTCATTTGTGTGAAGGGTACGGCTGGTCAAGAACATTTTAAAGAGCTTGCTCATCCAGTTTTGTGAGTTCAACTAAACAGACAGCTGATATGAAAGATGAAGGGCCGCAGGGCCTCACATCTAGACATAACATGAGATGGTGGGCGACAGATTAAAATATATACACATGGATTTCTGAAGCTTTTATTGGTAAAGCTGTCTTTGTAAACAGGTTTGTTTATTTTCCTGAGATTACAGTACATAACCACCAGTTATTTGCTGGTGGTAGTAGTTCATCCGCATTTGACTGATTGTAGGTAAGCTAGAAGCAATCTGAAGCCCTTTAATTTACTTAAACTCTGACACACTTGCTGTCAACTTGTCCATATGGTTGCCTCTCTGTGTTTTTGCTAGTCTCGATGATTTGTTTTCTAATGTTTCTTCGACTCACCTAACTCGACTCGCCAGTGTTTCCAGATTTAAATGCTGTATGAATATGTATGCATATAATGGAAGTAACATGCAGACGTTAAACACTACCTGAGTTCAATGTGGCAGGCTGTCAGTGACAGTGATTGGCTATCTGTCCGTTCACGTTACCGAAGCCGCCAGCTGGACAGACGCGACGACATCGTGTCTTCAAAACCGTCCACCGTTTTTAGTTGAGGGCATCTGCTGTCCTACTCGGTTGGCCTCTCCATTCAGGAAGCAAACCGGTCTGGACAACCCCCCCCCCCAAAAAAAAAATTACAAGCTGAAAGCGTGAGGTGGATCTATATTTCCGCCATTTGCTTCCTGGTTGTTTTCCTGCACGGGATTTAGGATGTAGTATCGCGAGACTTCACGTGAGGCTTTTAAAGATATGAACCATCGGGGTTTAAACTATAAACTGGATTTAAATAAAAACCGTTATTTAGACCAGATAAACGGCTATTATATATTATTTATTATTTTTTTAATTATTACCTGGAGATATTAAGAGTTTTCAGCAAAAGTATAATGTTTTAAGTTATGATAAAAGACTCAGTAGCCTTCTATGATGTTGTCTAATTGCTAAAGCAATAAAGTCAATCTTTTAATGATATAAAGAGGTAGGGCAGGGTTGCTTTTTTGGGTGATTTCAACGTCTAGTGGTTAGGGTAGTATTTTTAAAGATACTCTGTTGTATTACTATATTATATATATATTATATTCATACAGGATCTGTGTTTGTGGGCGTCTATCTCCCCATTAAAATGCTGCCGTGACCCGGATTCGAACCGGGGTTGCTGCGGCCACAACGCAGAGTACTAACCACTATACGATCACGGCTGGCCACACATCGTGGGAGGCTTACATAACACACTTCTTTATAGTCACAGGCATTTGTTTTGATAAGGCAAATATCCTTAATTGTTAGATTAGATAGATTATTTCCCTCCGTTATAATAATTAAGAAATGCATTAAACTGCTGGACTACTGGATACTTAAACTTTTAACCTGTCTGTTCCTGCGTCACGATATGGGGCGGTTGAGGTGATGATGGGGTCACAGACGGCTGACTTTTCCCTATGAACCAGGATGACACAGGACGCTGGTTGCTTCTCATGTGCACATTTTACTGAAGTATTGTCCTTGTTATCGTGTTTGTCTGGAGTTCAGGTGAAGCTGGTCGTTAGGAAAGGGCAAATGTTCGTCCTCTTTCTGTGTGTCTGCCAAAATTGGCTGCCGTGACCCGGATTCGAACCGGGGTTGCTGCGGCCACAACGCAGAGTACTAACCACAACGACCACCACGCACGAGGATACGACACGCTTCTTTATAATCACAGACATTTGTTTTGATCTAGCAGATATCATTATTTTTGTTAGCATATTAAGTGGATTACTTCACTCCGTTTTATTGATTGTTAATTAAGAAATGCATTATTAATAATAATAATAATAATAATAATAATAATAATAATAATAATACATTTTATTTGTAAAGCACTTTTCATAAAAGAATCTCAAAGTGCTACAGAAACCAAGAAAAAAACAAAATAACAAAAAACACTAAGGGCAATAACACATTAAAATCAGCAACCAATAATAATACAAGTGATAAAATACATTAAGAAAAACAGCTAAAAGAGGGTATTAAACTGCCCCCATGATCGTCTGATTTCTTATTAGTAAGCCGTATTTATTTTTTTGGCTGATATTTTTGTGCCTTTGTCTTTAATTACCGTTATTATTGACTATATCCTTATCGTAATATTTGAATGTATCATGTCATCACATTTTACACCTGTGGTACCTGAATCTCGCAATACCGAATCTTCTATTGTTACCTGTATGTGTTACATGTGTTCTGTTCTTTTATTGCAATAATAGAAAAGAAACAGAGTAACTTTGACCCTGTCTGATTCTTTATCATGAGATGGGGCGGTAGAGGTGATGATGGGGTCACACACTGCTAACTTCTCCCTATCAACCAAGATGGTTGTAGCCTTCTGATGTACATCTCTGACTGAAGTATTCTCATACTTGTCGTCTTTGGCAATTGTTCTTCATCTGGGACATCCTCTTTCTGTGTGTCTGCCAAAATTGGCTGCCGTGACCCGGATTCGAACCGGGGTTGCTGCGGCCACAACGCAGAGTACTAACCACTATACGATCACGGCTGGCCACATAGAATGAGAGGGTGACATGACACGGTTCTTTAAACTCACAGACATTTATTATGACACGACAAATATCCTTCATTTGCAAGCATAAGTAGATTACTTCACTCCGTTATATTTAACAGATTAATTATGTTTATAATTAAGAAATGCATTAAACTGATGGACCCCCGGACCCCTGGCGGCGGTAGAGGTGACGATGGGGTCACAGACTGCTTCCTTTTCCTTATGAACTTGTATGATCCAGGAACTTGGTTGTAGCCTTCTGATGTGCATGTTTTACTGAAGTATTCTCCCAGTTATCTTCTTTGATTGACGCTAATGTGAAGCTGGTTGTGAGGAAAGAGCAATTGTTGTTTATCTGGGATGTCCACTTTCTTTGTGTACGCTTCCTCCATGTCAAAAACGAGTGCCGTGACCCGGAATCGAACCGGGGTTGCTGCGGCCACAACGCAGAGTAGTAACCACTATACGATCACGGCCGGCCCTGTACGGAAGATGTTAACAAACCTAACAGAGTTTGTTACAGAAAGCTAAAAAAAGAAGTGTGATAATCAATGCTGATCTATTAGACTCTGAGTTCAGAAAATCCTCTTAATTGATTAAATAGTAATCATATTATTTGAATTTTAGATTGTTATGCAACATATTACAATCCTCAAACCTGGAAAAAGCTACATCATTTATATTTTTGTTTATTTGTTTGGTGTTGAAAATGTCATGAGTCATTTTGAAAACTAAAGCATCTATATATGAGGCTATATAATGACTCATTCACAGTATTTCAGAAGTGATTATGCAGTTAATCCACGCTCATCCAGCTTAGGTTTCAGTCATGACTGCTCCTCCTACACCAAGGTCAGCAGATATGCTTCACATTATCCAGCTTCCCACCTGTTTCCCATGGGCCTAACCTCCCTTCAACCCACATCAAACTCAACCGGCCCAATCAAGCAGATAAACTGAGCCACGGCCCGTTTACACTGTGGGCTTCTTATCATGCAGAAATAACCGATTTCCCCTCATATAACAATGTAGGGAATCTTTTCCTGAACACACATTAATTAAAAACACAGGTTTTAAAAGCATGACCATACAGTACTAGAGGTCGTGTGTTAAACGTAGAGGGTGAGAATAATAATAACCCTGTCAATACTGGCTCGTGGCGGGTTCTAGTAGCCTCGGGGTAAAATGATTTAACATCTAATACCAATTTCTCCCACATAACCTTAGGGTGAGAAAAATATAAAAGTGCATAAATGATTTTTTTTAAGGCCTTTGCTCTTACCTGTGAAATATTCTTAGCACTATGAAACACAGCTATTCGCCTGTGTTTACCCAAAATCTACAAGTCACAGTGACATTTAATCAGTGACATTTAACCAGACACTGTTTGTCCCTAAATGACATCCGAACCCATCCTTATAATCATTCGTGTGCTGAAGAAGGTCAAGCTCACCTGCCTCTGTGAGATCAGGCCGCCGGCACTGACCTAAATCTTAATGGAGTCCTTGTATCGCTGAGTGTTTTCTTATCTCACATGTATTAGAGCCTCACTCCTTGACCCTCTGCAGTTGGCCTCAACGGGGTGAAGTGTCTGCTGTGTCAACATGGTCCCATAATTTGTCCAAGGACTCCGGTAAAAAAAAACCAATGACTCTGCCATAGGGGCATTGTATGTGTGGTATACAGTAGCTGTGAATTCAGCACCATCATCCTGGAAGTGCTCTTGTGGGCAAATTTCCCAGCTGAACATCACTTCATAAATCTGCTGGTGGATATTATTAGACTTCTTTTATCAACCCTGACCCCACCTGTCTTTGTTGTATCGCTGAGAGAAATGTCTCTATCACCTCCTCTGCTCCCTGTGCACCAATGGCTCTTGCTTCCTCTCTGTCAGATGGCCTACGTTTGAGGATGATATGACCCTTTTGGGTCTCTTGAACACCGTTGAAAATGACTGTTTTATGCCATGATCCATCAGCAGCGGAAAATACTACAAACATTAAAGGTGAGAATGCAATTGCAAAGAAAAATGCTTGAGATTGACTAACCTTGAATTGCGTGCCCTATGGTGGTTTCTTGTCTTGCTGTTTGGCTCAGACATCCTGAGGGAGCTTGGAGTCCTTTGAGTTCAAAAGAGCCAGTTGAAGGGGTTTGGGCATCTGATCAGGATGCCTTTCGTTGGAGGTTTTCCAGGCATGTCCAACTGGGAGGCAGAGGAGAGCGGACCAAGAACACACCGGGGAGATCTCATCTAGCTTGGGATCCGCCTCGGGATCACCTGAAAATATTGCTACAGATAAGGTTGTCTGCTGCCACTGTGACCCGAATAAGTGGAGGAAAATGGATGAATGGATAGAGTAAAGATTCAGCCCAAAGTCAGAAAAATGAATAGAAATTTGTGTGGCAGGACTCTAGTTTTTCTTTGTTTCTACTTCATTAATCATGTCACAATGTCTCTGATCTATCTTGTGGCACTTTGAGGGTTTAAATCAACCAACTGTATATAAAGTAGTTAAAAGTAGCTCCACCTCGAGAAGCTACAACAATAAAATGCTGCTTACACATTGATACATTACTGTTAACAATCTAATAAAGTAATGTATCATCATTTATATCGATTTTCCTGTAGAACCAGAACTTTTACTTTTGGTACTTCATGTGTTTTTCTGACAATATTATTGTACTTTGACTTAAGTAGGATTTTTGGCACTGTTAATGTATTAATGGCTTTGGATGACCCCGTTTATCAAGACTTATATTTGATGTTTCACAGGTTTTGAGTTGTATTTTAAGAACCGTATAATGATTGAAACTTGAACCAAAAAGAATGCATGAATAAAAGTGAAGAAATCTGTATTACAATCAAGCTTCCTAAAGTCATAAAATACTCAGTCTGTATTTCTGAGCCTCTGGGCGGAACAGTATGTCAAGAACAGTACAGAATAGAGAAATGCAAAGAAAAAATGGCACCATTTGAAATATATGACCAAGAGAAGGGCAGAACTTTCCCCTGATGCATTCCACGCCCATTCGCTTGTCAGATGTGATTAAAAGGCTTCAGCCTATCCCATACCAGAGATGTACTTGTTCCATTCCCTCAGGAAACCTGAGTCACATACATTAACTAAATTGCTGAATTTTTGGTCCCTCGTGAGC